GAGGAAATCGTAAAAATTAGACCCCAAAACATCGTTTTTGGTACATTCTGAGCAGCTTTTATGGCAATCTTATTGCTCCAAAATTTACTGTTCGTGCACAAATAATTCCGGAAAAAATTTGTTTGCCACTCCGATCGTATTACGCGCGGTCCTTGCGCCCGGCTACAAAATGCAGAAAAATAAAGAAAGCATATTTAAATGTCAATTTGATCGAAAACATAATCATTGGGATCTGAAAAATATCACAGGTTCGCTTTTTGGAAGTTTTGTTTTTGTTTTGACGGTTTAATTCTAGCGGGGTGCGGTCCATAAAGCCGTATGGAAATTCACCCCGCGTCCCGGTACACTGACTTCCGGGTTCCTTGAACAAGAATATTACGAGAAAAAGGCCAAAAATCGGCGTAGAGAAATATATATCTTCCCGAAAATTCTTTTGATTATGCATTTCTTTAATAGGATGTTGCTAAGTAGTCGTAGAAAAAACGTAGAAAGCAGCGTAAATGTGTCTCTCTTCTGCACCGATGAAGAAAAATCTTCCCGCGCTGCCGGCTGCTGGCCACATCGCTTATCCAATCAGAACGCAGGTCATGTGAGGTGAACCAATCAGAGCGTCGATCGCGCAGTGCTACTTACTTATTCATGACAAGATGGCGCCTGAAAGCTCCTGTTTTTGTACAGCGATGCGGAGTGTGCGTTTTTTATTCCGGGGTTTTCTTAGTTTTGACGCTGATTTTTGACTCGCCGTGATTACGCTACAAATGACACACTAGTGGAGACAACAGATGAGTGGTCATTTTACGATCGACAAGAACTTTTGATGAATGAAACAGCCGTGAAATCTCGCTGATGGCGATTTGTTTTTGTCAAAATAGCCTACCCTAGGCTATTTTGACAAATTTTAGCAATTTCTGTATAATAAAATTATCTACTATTTTATATTCATCACCTCTGAGGATGAACTGGACTGATAACTGCTTAGGAAGACCTGATGGTTTTTGGACATTTTCAAGTATTAAAGTCTATAATAAGACTCAGTGACAGGACAAGAAGACCCCAAAAGTCCTCAGGCATGGTTATTCAGTACCTTAATCTGGGTACACAGACTCCTTGAATTTGCATCCATACAAAGAAACAATCAATCGTTTGTATTAATGTTTTTCTTGTCATTTGGGAGTTGTTGTTTAAGATCAATGAACCAAGACCCTGACTTGGTTTGGCCTTAGATTCCATGAAGCTGAAGGTCAAGATAAGATTCCAGCATGCTCCAAATATTAGTCACCATCCTCCACCCTTCTACTGTCATCCTGAAGACATTAGTCTGAGTTATCTGACAGTGTACAGGTTTGAAGCTGTGTCTGGTACAGGGTAGCTACTTGGGTTTTCACCCCTTCAGAGGAGGTTCATTTTACCAGGAATGGTTTTACAAGTAGTATGTTGGTTTATTTGCTTGTTATAACTTTAAACTAAGCATGAATACAGCGAACAGGTGACTTCTTGTATCCCCGGTGAAATAAACTGAAATGGATTTTTAATGATTTTGTGTAGGAAGTGACAAAAGCTGGGAGGAATGTTACCGGTATATCTGGTTTCGGTTTCAATCTTGGGTACTTTACATTGTAAACTGTACATATGACCCCCAGTAATACGTAATGATCATAGGAATGATCATAGGATGGTATATACACAGTTATTACACACAGAAACTATCTCACAAATAAACAACATAGATTTACATGTAAACATGTAAACGTTGTTGGTTTTCTTGTTCTTGTCATACTCACTGGTGTATTCTGGATGTCTGAAAGGTACAGGTCTCTGTCTGTAAGCAAGAACACAACGTCAAGCATAAACCAAACGTTTGCAAAAGAAAATTTATCAACAGTTACCTATAATGTGTATCTGTCAATAGCTGGTCCATTATTCTTGCTCATTCACCGTTACACTTGCTTGCCTAACTACAATCTAAAATAGGAGCCTTACAACAGCCAAACAAGCTTCTAAAGTCTAAAAAGCATGAAGTGCTGTTTACAAAAGTACTTCGCAACAAAAACAGTCTTTAAGTGGAACCCTTTCTTTGTCCTTTAAACTAATAAATTGCGTGCTAACAGCCCTAATATGTCCTGCAAACAACAGTTACCTTCAACACACAAATCTAATTCTAATGCTGTTTGCCTGACTGATTGTGCTGGATAACAAACCTCTAATCACTGTTTTCACACCTTTGTTGATCACTATGAAGATTGGAAAAGGTGCGAATGTACACAGAACTTAACGGACCAGAAACAGGATAACCTTGGTGAATTTGGTAGGATCTAAAGAGTGACCAACAAACAAAAACTGACTGCTATATATATACAGTATAAAACAAAAGCAGTTGCACAGCATGTGTTAGGCACAGCGAAATCTGTATGCTTAAAAAAAAAGAAAGTGTTTCAAATGCAAAGGAAGATTTACAAGTAAAGCCCCATTTCTTAATTTGTTAGCTGGTATAACTACCATTTGGTGTAACACAACAGCTTAAACTTTTCACATCAATTTTAGCTGGTGTGCTGATAAGGGAGAATATATTGATGCTCCCCACAATTTAACAGGTTCCACATTCATTTATTTTCTTCAGGCTACAGACTACAAAGAACACTGCCATGCACTGAGGTAGAAAGAGCAGGGCCAATTTTTATCTGTCACCTGTGATATTGCAGGCTATTAGAATTATAGATGCAATTTTGCTAGCAACAACCAAAGATTTTGTTAACTTAAGTAAAAAATGCTACCGGTGAAGAAGATTGTGTGTGATGTTTGGGAGGGTCAGTCTGACTAGCAGAACTATTTACCTCATTTGACAAAATATTAGTTAAAAGCACTGAGATTTTCATATCTACAACATTAAAGATACCATATTAAAAGACATCATAATTTGTCTTTCATTTCAGTTCTTCACTGCAGGTGCAGGCAGATTTCGCAGGTGAATATTTTGAGCTGAGTAAAGTGATCTGTCTGCCTGGCAGGTAGTAAAGCTAGACAAACGACCAATTCTGCTGCTGGCAGTGGAAGATTAGGCTGGAGCAAGTCAACCTCTCATTCACATCACTCCATCAGTCCATGCCATTTGGTTATGTAGCAACTTATTGTAACTGTAAACACAACATAGAGACTGTAACCCAAAAGCTGACAATGTCATGTTTGCAATGAATAAAAAGTGTTGAACAGACAAATTATAAACAAATTTGATTCCTCATTACAATTTACTTTCAAACCTTTTTTGGAACAAGACCATTATGTGAATACACATTTGTTTGTGCAATGGTAGGACCACATCAAGAAAATTATGCTTTCTCAGTTAATGACTTCTTCTCATCATCTCTTCTTCTCCATGCTAGCAAAATTATGATTTGAATAGCCAGCGACCATGTTAGCAGGTGGCTTATAGCAGTATATTGGCATATTTATCAGACATACACTCTGATCCAAAATGCTGCAAATGACGTCATATGAAAAGCCTGTATACCACTAACTGCTCTACCATGGCCCTTGAGTGAAATAAGTGTCCTTACAGGCAGCACTTCTAGAAGCATGAGCCGCGCTGTCCAGACATTCTTCACATCAGGAACCTGACCAGAATCCTGACAACATTTCCAGTCTACAGTTCTTACATTATGAGTTATACATGATTCAGTGCAACAATCTTCAGGGCTGGGTGTATGTGCACCTTAGTGCACCCAAATTTGGAGCTGCGCACCCAATTATTTTCTGTAGATGTACCAGTGCACCCAAATATTTTCGTAGGTTTACGTAACGGTATGTAAAGATGTGTTTATGTTGCATATTATTCTTAACATCTAATTGTCAGAAAACTAATAAAAAATCACTCTTCTAGTGCTTTTCTTTAGAAACAAAACAGTTTTTGCTGACGTTCTTTGTGCACCCAATTTTATCAGGCTGGGTGCACCAGTGCACCTACTAGTATTCCCAATTTCGAGCCGTCACATCATGACTTCAGATGTTTCTAGTTTCCATATACAAAGACTTATTCATGACTCAGTCCAACACTCTTGCTAGTGTTTCATATTAAGCTCCAGGCAAATCCTATTATCTTCATCATAATGCCTTGTTCACTGTGTGAATCAGGAAGTGGTAGACATACTTCCTCTCATAGTTTACATGACAAATACTCTGGATAGAGTAGGTAAAGAATGCAGAACAGGTAATGCCAGTGGGCACAGAAGAAAACCTTGCTTTGTTCTTTGTAAATTGTTGTGGCATTAGTGTGATCCCATGCTGCATGCATCAAGCATTAACTTATGAATCTCATTATTTCTCATACAAGGTGTACAGTACTTAATACATATCCCTTGTTCCTGTGTGTATTGTATAATATTTATTTGTCACCTGCACGCTGCTTTATCACTATAAGAGCAACAAGTGATTTTGGAAATTATGATATGTAGGACAACACTGCCCCCCTCCCCCATCACTTTTACACGCCATTTTGGAGCCTGCCATGAAAGTCTTGTACGATAAAACACACACCAGTATCTACCAAACTACCGGCCTTACCCTGGTCTCCCTCCCTGCAGCGGAGGTTTCTTCCCCCGGCCGAGGGACGACATTGGGGAACTCATTTTTGGCACAAGTTTACGCGTTGCTCAGCAACTTCTCCATGACGAGATTTTGGCGAGTGCAACTTGGTCGATTTCTGTTGTTTTTAGGCGTTTAACTTCCCTAAAACCGGTCCAACTTACATGGAAAAAATTCTGTGTACACTAAAGCGTAAATACACACCAACTGTGCCGCCTAGCGTGACCACAAACGCCGAAAAACTGTTAAATTTGCCAATATCTTTTCAAAAATGTTGCTTGTGCCGCCATGTTTAGTGACGTAGCTTCACACATGCGCCGCTGTGTCTGAGAGTTGACCAATCAGAATTCTTCCCGCCTAATTTGTACTTTCCCTTCGCGCCAAACTTTGGCTCTTCTATTCTAAGTTGTCAGAGTAACCATGATTAGTTTATAAAATCCAATATCTGGAATAATTCAACAATAAGCTGCATCATTAGCAAGTGTATTAATACATGAACTTTATTTGTTGGTTCTGATTGATAAATATTTTATATTGTTCGCAAATGATCGAAATTCTGGAGTAATATTTTGACAGTTTGAAGGGGTGTAGCCGGTAAACGCAACAGCATTTGATCTGGCTCTCCAATCAGCTGTCCGCGTGGCTCGCCTATATGAGCACGTTTCCGCTCGTTTTTTGGACATTCTGAGTTCGCACTCGGTGTGGAAGGAGCTGAGCAAGGATTTAACCCCTAGAGGAGAGTACAGAAACCGGATCGAACATGTCTGCCCGCCATCTATTCGCTTTTTGCGTGGTTTTCGCGCTTTTTGTGATGTACGCGACAGCGCAAAACACAACAGCGGCTGCTCCTAGTGGGAATGCCACTTCACCGGTAAGCAGAAGACGTGGTTGTTTTTCTGTGTGCGAAATTGTTTACCATGTTGTGTACAAAAGAAACCTAATTTACGTGCATCTGCTTTACAATTTCATATAATTTGCAGTATCGCGATTGGTTTTTGTAGCCATGGCAGATCCTAGACTAGAAGAACACAGTAATGTTGCTAGGTCGACATAAGACATAATTTTCCTGCTTGTCGGAGCGCACGTCTCCTCCCTGGGCGCTCTCCGCGGGGTCGGCAGTCCTCCATCCATCTCCGGCTCTCCTCTGTTCGCTTGATGTCGGGCTGACAGAGATGGATTCTGCCCGTCTAGACAGCAAAATGGGCTGGCAAAAGCGCAGACTGCCGGTGAAAATTATGAGCGAAGAGCACGATTCTCTGATTTTCGATAAAACCTTCCAATGGCGTGTAAGGATGTTCACAACAAACACAACAAGATGAAGCGCGTTCGTTTCTTCTGATTCTTTTACTTCACCATGTTCTAGATTCTACTCAGTGTTATCAGCTGCATCGGACGCCATATTTTCATTGAGGAATAATTTCAATCTGCTCTAGATTGTGTGGCACACATGCAGAATGGCTAGCGCTTGTGGCGTGAGAAATTATGTGGACTGCTAAATCTTTTTGTTGTCGTGGGTCGACTCGTGTTTGCGCGGGTGGCGCGTTGGAAGTTGAACCGTTGGGCGGTTCGTCACGCCAATTTGGGCTAATTGTGTCGGCGGTTTTTTTTTTTTTGGCGGCGTCACATCGCCCAAGGCGCCGGGGACAGAGCGGAACGAGATGACATGATTTTACAGCGGCACAGACCGGCGCCGACGTAAACATGTCTTCCTTTTCTTGTTGAAAATGTCGCAGACATCGCTTGAATTGGGTAAAAATTCGCTATTATCTACCCGTGGATTTTCGACATATTCCGGCAAGCTGATCGATCATTTGTCAAATTTCTTCACCCTCTCCGGATTTGTTAGATGTTTTTGGCAGAAAACGTACATTTTTCAACCCACAAAGCTGCTCGCCTGCAGCAAGGTAGATCAAGGTTGTAGAAATAATTTGGGTAAATAGGGCAAATGGTTTGCTTGGGGATTTCAGCGTTGGACAACTCGATCCATGTACGATCAGATTGCACTAGTCTACCCCAGGTTTTTGCCAATTTCTTCTCCATTTCAGCAAGCCAAGGAGTTTAGTTCCGGCTCAGAAATTGCAAGGGAGGCAACTTCGTTCTTTTCCTTGTTAGCCGTTTGGCTCCGCTGCCATGTAGTTGAGACAAGGCTGGGGTTCGGGAAGGGATCCGGTTCCATGTTGCCACGCCCTGCTCCACGTGCAGAGCCTTACAAGTCTGACGGGGCGGGGCGGGAACCAGAGCACATCTCCACTGTGGGTTTTTGTGGTGCGCACTTGCACTGAAATACACAGCAAAATGTAACTAAATCTTCATATTGTAGCCCACAAAATGTAGAGGAAGACCCAGTTTCAGGGGATAGCAAAGGGGTGTGTGGAACACACTTTTCAAAGGAATAAACTGTGGACAAATAAAACAGTGTTAGGCTTAGGGGCCTAGGACCATTTAAAAGGTGTGGTAAGCCTGACCACCATTGACCACTGCAAGTGCAAGGGCGGCTGCAAAATTGGGTGTGGAATAAGTAATTGATACAATAGGCATGGAAATGGGGGTTGGTATCACTCACTTTTGACACACAGGTTCCTCACTGGTCAGACTGAGTCACTTCTTGGGTACATAATACTACATTTGTAACTGACTAACCTGCTATTTATGGAAACTGATCAACTAGCCAGCCATCCAGTGATGATGATTCATTGATAGTGTTTTGATTGCAGAAATGCCTTGAATTCTTGACACATGTATCACAGTGACCATGTACAAAATGTAATAAAACATAGTACCGGTAATGCAGTTGTCTCTTCTTCATCTGTATTACACATTAGTATTTTTAGTTTGGCTTGGTTCATACTAGTATATATTTTCAACCCCTCCCAAAGCTTATTCCCTTTTTTTATTATAAAGTTTATTTAGAAGATTATTGAAGGGAAGCGACATGAAATTCGCAGGCAGAAGTACCTGACACACATGAGTGAAAAAGACTTCTGCTATAAAACGGGATGTGACAAGATAATGATGACGAAGAGGAAGTGATGTCATGTTTAGAGATGTCAGGTGTTCAGTCGTCACCTCTTGTCCCAGTTAGTGAGATATTAGGAACATGAAGGTCTTTGATATCATCAATACTGCATGTCCGTAAATGGCAGTGGTGGTTTACAGCCATCATTATCAGTCATCGTCACCCACAGACGTTCGTAATGTGTAAAATGTAGACAAACTGTCTGGCACCACGGGGTTACCATGGCAACTGATATGTCTGGTGAGAACGATACTATTTAATCTGGTAGATCCAATCTCATGCTGGGTCACAGAAATGTGGCTGTCAGTGGAGCAATATTGTATGACCCGGTTATTCACCTTTGTAAAAAACTAATTAAATAAATACATTCTCCGATACAACATTTTATAATATGATTTTTACGAAGAGTTTTGTCATAATAATGTTACATATGAAAGCAAGCATGTTACTAGAGGATTTTAGACTGTCTGGCATGATACTATAGACACAAACGAGCTGATAAAAATGCAATGAAAACACTGGTGGACTGATGTCAGATAGAGAATACTCCCTGTGGTGTAATGAATTATTGTTAAATGATAGTGAAATGAATAATCTTATTAGTGATGCATACCTAAACCCAATTTCAGGTTCAGGTCCGGATTCAAGTCCAGAGGTTTAGGTTCAGGTCCGGACTTGTAAGTCCGGACCTAAACCCATGGCACATACAAAATTGCATGTTGGCAACCTTGCAATGTTGTCTGGGTGAAACTTTGGCCACATAACATGGAGGCCGGTACTTGACAATGCCCGATGGCAATGTTTTCTTCATTTTGCAGCAAAGATTTTACAATCTACAGAAGGTTTTAGGTGGTTTGGAAAGAAAAGGGGTGTGTGAAATGGTCTTTTATGGTAATAAGTCCGGACTCGGTTCTTGACTTTTAGGTTTTTTTGGACTTGAACCTAAACATTTTTTAAGTCCGGATCCAAGTCCAGTGAACCGGTATGCATCACTAAATCTTATATATAGTAAAAAGTGTCAGGGGATGCCCATATTTCCTTTTCTTTGACCTTGTCTTTTCCAACAATATACCCAGTGATACTCAAATTATATATAATATGCACACAAAATGCATCTCAACACGAAGACAAGCTAAAAGCACATATCCACTGGGAATTTAGTGTAATTAACTAGTTGCACATAATTGGGCGAAAGGCTCCTTGCTTGCAGAATTCTCCTAGCTATATTACTTAGGTGACTTGCCCCATGCTTACAGTACCAGGTGTGTTCTCTCTACTGTCAGTGTTTATATCTAAGGTATTAATTCTGTTGTCTTTTCTAAAAGACTGTGAAAACAGGAACAGATGTTTTCCAACACCAGTGTTGAACAGTAACATTTTCTTTGTGTAATTTTGACAGTTGAGCCTTCTTTCTGCTAAATCATTCAAACTCTCAAACAAATCAAAATCATATTTTCACCAAGAGCCCTGACCCATGCCGTATAATAATGTATTGTCCCATGTTTACTCCATGTTACATGTATAATGTATTGTCCCTGGAATTGTTCTCACCTAAGATTAACTAAGAAGGATGTAATTTCAACCACTCCAGGGGGTGGATTATCCTGAGAAATCCCTTCATCATGACTAACCAGGCTGAAAAGGAGATGTAATTATCTCTAACAAACTTCCTCTTTCATTATCAAAGCTCTCAGTGGGTGTTGCTTTTCTCCCTTGGAATCGTTGGATTTTGTAAGACTAGCTGTGATGTTTAGGAATGCTAGCAAGAAAAAACAGTAGTTTATTCAGGCACAGTCTATGTAAATCTTTTTGTAAACCTTATCTTAAGTTTGCTTATTCTGTGTATTACTTATTGCCTGCTTGCCTATTAATGCACAATGTCTCATTACATGTAGGACTGTAGGTGTGTCGGTAATGTGAAAAAAAAATCAACTGTTCTGCTTCTGCTCAATAATATTGAAGAACTGAGTCTTGATGTAGGAGTAGATTGGTTTATGCCCATTCTGAGACGACTTTGTCCAGGGGTCAAACAAAGTGACCTTCAAGCTTTTCTACATGACGTGATTATAATGTCTGTGGAAACACCCAAAGTTAGAATCAGATTTTGGTCCAGGTGTGACCAGTTCCTTAAAGTGTTGGCATCCACCCTAGAGTTTAGGTAGACTAGGAGTGGTCATTTTGGAAAGTTTTGATATGTAGTTCATCTGAGTCAAGAGCAGTCTGACCAGTTTTAAATTGTAATCACTACTATTACATTCTTGCTATATATGGAAATGGCTTTAAACATTGGTATTAGGTCCAGTCATAAGTGTTAAAATTGCTACCTTGGTAGCTCTTAGCACCGTCAAAATGTTAGCTTTTCATGAACATTCCTTGTGTCAAATACTGTTATCCAACAAGTGTTATAGAGGGTTACACCTTTCTGTTCCAACACCCTATCATTGGACAACTCTAACCTGTGTTCCAACAATCCTAACCCTGTGTCAGAATGTAGGGGCATCAGTGCACATAGCATGTTTTAAATTGATTTCTTGGTCTCAACTTTGACCATCTGTGATAAACAGTTCACCTAGGACTGCACTTTACAAGAAGATAAAACGTTCAAGCCAACTAGTGTGTCGAACGCCATACCGTAATCCTCTCAACGGTTTTAACCAGTTTATGTTGGTGGGCGTCTAGGGTTACCTTGTGGAGTGGTCTGACATTTCTGAGGTGTCTGCCAACAATGTGGGAACACAAACCTGATAACACAGGGTCCTGGCAACCACTGATCTGTGCAGGGTTTATACAAAGGTGGGGGAGAACCTCCCTTTCTCTGGAGGTAATATCTCATCTGTAAGGGTCACTCCTAATCTCAGGAGTTCATCTCAGTTTTCCCAGGGCCCTGCCTTGGGTTTCAAAAGCAAGGGCCTTTGGATTGGTGACATTTAGCAAGCTGCATGTTTTGCATTTTTTGAGCTTCTAGAGTAAGAGATCACCATTTTCATCTTTTCTGATACATGTACTTCAGAAAGCTTGTCTGGACAAGAGTTGAACCATGTCTAATAGCATACTAGAGATTGGGCATGTTGAAGAGCATTTCAGGCTTTGAGCCAATAAAAATTAAAATTTAGATTAAAAAACATCCAAAACAAGCCTAACCTCTAGTTGGAGAGTATACTTATCACACTTTTGTGGAACACTAACAACACAGGGTCGGCTTCTTCTAGCAGGTTCATGTATCGCAAATTTACACAGTGCAATGTTCAACAAGTTTCCCGTACCCGGTTCTTGGTCGCAAACCGACTGTAAGATTTTGTCTCGCTGTTTGCACATCCTTCTACAGAGAATGTGTTAGAGTGCTCTTAGCGCCTCGTTTTTCGGTGTTCCATGTACAGCTGGTCAAAATCCTTAGACCAAACAGACAAAACAGAATCAATATCCAACAACAGGCAGGGTGACAATGCTCCTTCTATAGGAAGGCAACAGCTGCCCTCTTGAAGACATACCTTGTGCCTTTAGTAGGTTAGGTCACTGTGTAATTACATTTTTGATGCTTCTAGGATGAAATTTGACCAGAGGTAACCAAATTTTTGTTTCTCTCTGGACAGGTTACCTCAGCGCCTGGCAACATGACCACCACACCCTCTCCTAGTGGAACGACAGCCACAGTCTCCAGGTAGGAACAGCCTTATGTTCAAATGTAATGTCCAACAACATAATGAGGAAATGAATCTCAACAGAACTGCTAGTATCCAACTTTAGCAAGTAAAATGCACTATCTAATTCTAAACTGCATATGTAGGGTTGCTGCACTAGAGATCTCTCAAATGCACTATTCTTGAAAGTGGCACATGTACGTGTATGTAACCTGGTGGAAAAATGTTTGAGGTTACATTCTTCATCTGCACCTCGGGTAAATTTTCACAAGAAGAATAGATGTAAGGAGGAATGATAGCTTAGTTTTCCGAGACACATTTTCCTACACATGCAACAACTGCTATCAGAAAGTAAGATGATATACATAGTACGTCGATGAAGGTTAGACATCCAGGTAATACGATATGCCAAAAAACAGTTACTCAAGCAACTGGATATGATTTTGAAAACGTCAAAACGTTTTCAAAATCATATCCAGTTGCTTGAGTAACTGTTTTTTGGGATATACATAGTAGTTCTATGACACATGTAGGCAAATATTAAAAGTACATCTTTAGAAGGCGGGAGGGGGTCAAAGAAAGTTTTTAAACCTACTTGTACTAGACAGGTGCTTTTGATGGGTGAAATAGGGGCTTTACAGTTGTAATCAAAGGATTATGCATGTGATGAAGGATAGAAATTGTTTTGTATTCAATCAGTGACCTGCAAAATTAGGTTAATTTGCATACCTGAAAACTGAACTCATGTCTGAAAACAGTTCCCCTTTCCGGCTGATTCGATTATTTGGGCCAAACTGATTTTACAGTCACTGATTACGTAATCTTCCCTTTGAAGTCTTAACTAGCCCCACGCAAGGAGGAAAGTGTTCTAACAAGTTTCTAACACAATGCAACGTTTTGGCCTACATTCAACACATGAATTGCAGTCTACCAAAGTTTGTTGCAAACAATAGTTGTCAGTTGTCTTCTGCACCTGTATTGCCGGTGTAACCACCCTTCGGCATAACACGCCAGCTTTGCATTTAGATCAATGACACACAAAATTCATTGTGTCCTCGTTTCCTCACATAAATGACTGTCCACTAGCATTCCTGTAACAGTACGAGCCAAATCAACAACTTGTTTTTGCTTTTCTCTTGTAGCCTGGTAACTGTTGCTGTGGTAACTGCTGTTGCTGCCATGCTATCCTAAGCCAAAGATGTCACCGGAGCACAACCATTCCACAAACCACCTGCAACTTAGCAGCCAGCCAGCTGCAACTTTCCACAAACCACCTGCAACCAGTCAGCTGCAACTTTCTCCAAACCACCTGCACTATAGCAACCGGACTGCTGCAACCTAGCTTTCATCAACCACCTGCAACCTAGCAACTGCAACTTTACCTAGCAACAAGACAGCCACAACTTTCCATAAACCACCTGCGTTCTGCAACCTAGCAACCAGACAGTCGCTACTTTCCACAGAACACCTGCAACCTAGCAACGAGGCAGCTGCAACTTTCCACAAACCACCTGCAACTCAGTAACAGTAACTTTCCACAAGCCCACCACAACAGTTGAACTTTTCACACACCACGGTCACTGCAACCTAGCAAAGGGTAGCCACAACTTGCCACAACCAGAAAACCAGAACTTTTCACTGCTTTAACAGAGCCAGGATGTTGATTCACTTGGCAGTTTTGTTATCTTGCATTGGCCATTGCAGATTCTAGGACAGATATGAAAACAAAATTCCATGATGACCCTGTACTGTGTTCTGTCAGCATTTTAGTTTCAGGACAAATACAGCACCATTCCATCAGTTACATTCTCATGGCTTACAACAGATTTGCATTCCAATGAGTGTTTTAAGTTGATAACAAAGAATTACCTATTAAAATAATGTGGTGATATATATTGGCAGTGTACTTAACGTTTTAGGCCATATCTGTGACAATGGAGCACCTTTCATTGCTCTAACACTGTAATTATTGTTTCATTGGTGGTTTTGTTATCCTGTACTTCTAGCAGTTACTCTCATCTCTTAGTTTGTTCAGTGGATTGGATGATTAAGATGTTCCTCGGTTCAGCCAACAGCTGTATTTCCATAGCCGTGTTGATGTGAATGTTTTATTGTTGTTGAAGACATTTTATCTTTAGAGGTAAGATTTTACCTGGGGAATGATGTGCCTATGGATGCCTAGATAGCCACTGCTTGCTAATAAAACAAAGATGCATCAATTTCCATGGAAAACAGGGCCTTTTGTAGCTTAGAATCACTTAAAAGCGGACCTTTTTGACTCTTCAGTGTTAGAGCCATCCAACACCAAGATGCTTGATTGGTTATTGGAGCCAGAATTTTATTGGTTGCTGAAGCTATGCTTTCATTGGTTGCTGAAGCAAGGATTCTGATTCACTGTTGAAGCCAAGCTGTGATTGGTCATTACAAAATTGTGGTCTGTGATAGGCTGTGACCAACATTGAGTGCTCAAAAAAGTAAAAGGAACACCGAGATTAGAACTGATGCAAAAGCCCTGGTTTCCATGGCGATAGAGATGCGAGATGGTAAAGAAAAAAAAGCTATTTTTGCAAGCAACTTGCTATCATGTGACAGGCTGGGCGATGGAGGTGCATGACTAACTTGATTTGGTGACGGTTAGGAAAGCCTTGGTCCCAGCCTTGATTTTTGCTAACATAGCTTCTAGTTTCATACAGAATGAGAGGAATTTGGCAGATTGATATATGACAAGTACATGTCAAAAGTTTCACGTTGTTTTGCACCTAGTAGCTGCAGAGAAAGTCAACACTAGCCCCTCAAGTAGATGATTTGGACTAACCTAAAAATTACTAAAGCCAAAAATTGAGAAAATATAACCTGGATATTAAGACACCTGTACCCATATCAGCCTATGAGGTGTTTGACTCTTGTAATCTGTTGTGAAAGTTTCCCAACAAGCCTGCTAACCAGGCTACAGTTGATGCAGGTATTTAGAAGTCTTGTTTCTCTAAATCATCTGCTCGGGGGTTGATTTTCTGTGTGTTTGTAATCTTTTGTGGTTAATGAGTGGACAACATTTTGCTTGTGTAAAATTTATCATGTGTATCTTGCAATAAAAGTTCCGTTTCCCACAGTCTTGTTTGTGATGGTGTCTTTTTTTGTGGTCAAGTGAGAGGAAGGAGAAAAAAAATCAGGGCTTACTAGTTAGGCATAGCATGGTAGAATAGGCTGCAAAAAATTAGCAAAAACTCTGCTTGGAGAGATATACATCATCACGCAGAGAATCATACTTTTGACAGTCACACAAATTAAGACATAAAAGGTAAGAGAACTTCAGGATGAAGTCTAACATTGTGGATGAGAAAATCTTGAGTTTCCGTATTATGCCATATATTAAAGTACTTGTCAATGCATTAATGAGTTAGATATCTGAGTTTAGAAGCAGGTTGCCCACGTTTGGTACATTTATCACATTTCTGAGGCAACATAAAGTTGATTTACCATAGACTGCATACAGACACATCGATTTTGGCAGACTTCCCTGAGCAAAGTCAACCTTTGCCCTTTCAACAGATGGGCAATAATAAAGTGAACCCATCCCGGCAGCAAGTTGCCACAAATCAAGATTTCACGGCATTTCTGAGCCTGCCCTCAAGCAAGGAAACTGTCATATCAGTAATAGAACTGTTGAACGATGAGGCTCGGAGTCGGCAGAATGTCATCCATAAAATTGACTTTGTGCAGAATGGATGCTGCTGCTGCAAATCAAGATGTCATTGGGAGCACTTTGTTAAACTACTGTACTATAAATAAAACTTGCCAGTAATAAAACATTAAAATGTGCCGCATGCTTTTTTCACTGTATCATGACTGAATGTCATCCATGAAATAGACACAACCTAATAGCCCTGCAAAGCAAGGAGCAATTTACATGTGATTGGAAGCCTTTTGTGAAATATCATGTCAGTAATCAACCTTTAGAAAAGTGCTGAATACATTTTTCACAGTCTAGCATGAGATTTAAGTATGCAGAATGTTCCCCATAAAATTGAGATAACGCAGTCTGCCCTAAGGAGTACCAAACTAAGATCTCATTTGGAAAGCTACCACAAACAAGGGGTGGACAAGTTTTCAAAAATCCACTTGCCCTATTGGGCAAGTACATGGACATCTCCACTTGCCCGAACCAACTTTTCACTTGCCCAAAATAAACGACATTTTTATATGCATTTTCACTACCAGCAAGAAAACTATTTTCATTTTAGAGTTATCAAAATAAGGTGGTTTGAGACTTAATATAATATCATTATGGCCAAATCATGAGTAATTTTGCTCCAAACACCATAGCGGGTATACTTCGCATCCCAAAAAACTGTCAAAGTCAAAGAACATGTCATGGTGGTCATAAAGCTATTGATGAAAGAGTGCGACAAGGCACGTCACGAGACATCCTATCACAAAATGAGCTATCATTTTCTTCATCAGTCGTATGAGAGTCAAGGCTCTTCAAATGTCACCCATAAATTGACATAACATACTACATTAAGCTTCAGATTTTGTGATTAAATGTAAATTTCCCTTTGCATAATGATATGTATTTTTCAAAAGTGATAGGAGTTTTTGGGTGTGCAGATGATATCATTCTTCAGATGAACATTCTGGTAGCTGATACCACAGTGCTGATGAGGTGACAGCCTCTGCAAACTGATAGTTCCGACAGGGACGGCTCTATCTAGTATCTGGTGCTGGCAGCTTTCCCAGTTTCCTGGGGCGAGCAGGAAGGAAGAGATAAAATTGAAGTCACAGCCTCCGAATTAATGAGCAGTGATAAGACAAATTTCCTGCTACAGAATGACATGCGTGAATTGTGTTGATATGTGTTACAGTTGTTTTTTCTCTCGAAAAGTGGAGTATGACTATGAGGGAAATGCAGGGGAGCAGGGGCATATGCTATATAGAATAGCCTCAAGCAGGCCTTTCTAAGGGGTTATGGATAGTAGAATTAAGCAAAAGGGGAGTAAGTAGCAGTAAGGGTAACATTGCATCTATTAAGGCAAATTTGTAATGCAAACTTCTTTGGCAAATTATTCTCCCTAGTTACTAGAGTTCTCAGACTGGTAGAATTGCAAAGGATGATCTTCCTTCCCTTTCCACAATATGGAATTGAGAAACTTTGAGGTGAAAAATGGAGCATTGCTATATGGCATACAGAGAATGAAATCATAGTGTCTGGAAAAACTAGTGTCTCTACAGTCTACACTACACTCATAATATATCGAGTTGATTTGGCCGGGGGTCAAATCAGATAATTGACGCATGACCTCCGACCTCGGCAGGGGATCAGCCATTCGCATTCCAACTTCTGTGTTGTGTACACGTGTTTTTCCCCTCCCACCCACCACTGGTTTTTGATCAGTTCTCATCTGAATAAATTATCTACCAAGCCCATCACTTTGTTTTCCTTGTATGCATGGGAGAGAGAGTGCAGGTAATTATGTTGATCGCCAGAGGGGAACAAAAAAATTTCTTTTTTAAATCAGGTGGAAATCATTGCACCTGGATGTTATCCACAAAATTTACTTGCTGAGGCCTAACCAAGAAATTTGGTGCCAAAAGGCTGCCTCAGAGGGGAGACCCATAAACTCCAGTAAAGGTTTCAGTTTCATGGCACTGGTCCAAGCAGCAGCCAATGAGAGGCTGTAAGTGTAGACATGGAGGAGGGATGTTGCTGTTTTCACCTTCCCAATAAAGTCTGACCTTCAGTGGTCACTGTTCGTTTGAGCTCTTCACCCTTTTCAACTGCACCTGTACGTGCTTGGAGTATATTATGTATTCTATTCTACGAGCATAGACGTCAGGCCTCCCAGTTAGGTTATCACTAGAGCTACCATACCTACTCTCCAAAGCAGAGGTTTGGGTTTTGGCTTAATTTTTGTGTGTTTTTAGGTTTTTTTATCAGGCTTCCTTTTTTGCACCAGTATCTTTTAATAAAAAAAAGCCTAAAATAGGACACACCCCAAACCTCTGCTTGGAGAGTAACCATACCAATGTAAATTGTTGCTTCTTGGAGGCAAAAATGATGATCAATAATGGAAAATCATAGCCTGGGTACCATCCTACTTGTATGCCGGGGCTCCCACAGTCGCTTCCTTCTTAGGGAAGCGACTGTGGGAGCCCCGGCATACAAGTAGGATGGTACCCAGGCTAGGAAAATTAATGCCTTAACAGAGTCTGAGGAGAGAGTCTGTGGGTAGTGACCCAGACTTTAATGAGGTCCATGTACTATTTACACACTCGCCTCTCTCAACTTCCAGAAACTTTGCACTTGTGACAGCCCTGCCCTAATGAGCCCTCCGGTTCAATGGCAGTGTGTTCACAATATTTGCACATGGCAGACAAACAGATAATTTCTCCTTGCCAAGCTTCCTGCCAGACTACCAAAGTACCATAGCCTGATGCTAGGCTAGGTTCTGTATGCTTCTTTGTGTATATTTGTTCATGTCAGCTATGAAAATTGTTATCAATGCTAGACAGATGTATACATGGTCAACTTGTGCACTGTTGCTAATTTCCTAATCTCCAATCAGATCCTAGGGTGGCAAAAGACAGGATCAAATTGGCCAAGCATCCATTCACCAGAGAGGGTCCATATGCCACCCTTTGGCTTTATGACACAACAGATCAACTAAATAAAAGGTCACAAGAACCCCCTAATAAATCATCTGTTTTCAAGAGGCCTTGACTCAATCACACTATTCCAGAAGACATAACTGGAAATAACATTACACATAAACCTTTAGATTTGATTTCAGCTACCATGTTCCAAACTTGCAACTGATTGATCATGAAGCAGATATGCAGCTCAGTGTAACTGTTGGTCAACTGTTAAAACCACCCTTTGGCATTTCGCACCAGCTTCGCAGGCACCGTGGCCAGGTCATTATTTTACATCAAACAACTTGTCCCACCTAAGCTCTGCATACATGAATCTCATCAAACTCTGCATATTTTCCACCAGACCTCTGGCCAATAATCCCGACCAAGACCGCAGGTCTGTCAAGGAATTTGGCGAGTCAATTTTGGGGTTGCAAACAGTTTATCATTTGCAAAGTCCACGGTGCTGGAATATTGTGCCGGCTTGGCGGAACGCCAGTTGGGTACTCAGAGACTGGGATGAGAAGTCGGTTGAAAGGTCCGACAGAATAATTCACCCCGTCTCACTTTGGTGCCGGCTTTTATTACTAGAACTGATTAACGAGACGCCTGTACTAGACGGGGCCCCAAACAGGCATTTGGGACTGAGGGGTAAAAAGGTTGTAGGGGTGTGTTTCCTTGTAATGTCAGCATAAAGAAACGTTTGTACTCGTCTTACAATCAAAACTGCCCAACTCGGGACTGATAAAATCTGATCTATAAGAACAGGCACGATGGAATTATAATATAGAACTTTTTTAAGAACATTGATGACACACACTGATTTGGTGTGCCAATGACAACTTAATATGAGATAGCACTGCACATTTGTCACCAAGAACAGTACATTATTATTATCAAAAGAACAGGTGGTCACTAGTATGGACAGGATTTTTGCTCCTGTCAATGGGAAAAATTATCAATAAAAAGTGGTCACAACGAATGGACAGAGTCAAAATTGAAGGTGTGAGAAGTTGGCTTGCTGCTCCAGCCACTTGGTACCACCCTTTATAATTTTATAATATCTCAGATATATCTCTAAGAAACTTTTACCACTTAAAAGTTTAATACTTGTCTAATTTATTAACTTCTCTGAAGGATCTGACACTTGAAGGTGTGAAACCTTACAACTCAAAAGTTTACACTAATTTATTAAGATATTTTTTAAGGATCCGGTAGTTGTGGGTGAGGGAAGTTGACTTGCTGCTCGAGCCACTTGGCAGCAGTTAGTGTCACCTGTTCACTGTTTCAGACATATCTTGAAGAAAGTCTTATACTACTTTATTAAAATCTAAGACATTTCTGAAGGATCTGGCAGTTGCAGGTGAGGGAAGTTGACTTGCTGCTCGAGCCACTTGGCGGCGGTGAGAAGAGTCTTCTCCTGGAAGGACTGCCCGATCAGCTGCAGTCCGATCGGGAGGCCGTCTTCCGACAGGGACACAGGAACGTTCACCGCTGGGATTCCTGCAACAAGGCATCAGACATTTCAGACTTGGGTTTCAGTGAATTTATTGGACCAATCAAAGAGATATGGCAAAAAACAGTTACTCAAGCGACTGGATATGATTATGATTATGATATTTTTGACAGTTTCCAAAATCATATCCTGTAACTGTTGCTTGAGTAACTGTTTTTTTGGTGTCTTATCACCTGGATGTCTAACCTTCACCAATGTATCAAAGAGATCGTTTTAGGATTAGAATAGAAACTGTGCAGGGTTGAAGGGTAGCTTCAGTTTCCTTCATTCTTCCTTATGTTGACCTCTATCTCCTGCTGACCACTATCTCCTCCTTTGAATTCACCCCATTTCCTGTGTCTGAGCTACGTGATCATATAATGGAATAATTTTAATTTATAAAACTGAGGATATAGAGTCAACCATACTCTTAGATTACAAACCATGACAATATTACATATTACGTGTTACGTATATACATGTATTAGTTACAGGGCTACTGTAAGGTTCAGTCAATAGCAGGAAGTAATATGATAATCAAGCTACCGGTAGTAGGTATGAGAAATCATGGGACTGACATCAAGCAACAAAATTTACTTTGATTTGAAACACCCTCTTAAGATGCAGTTGGGCTTAAGGAGCCTTGATTTACAGCAAATGGGTCCCTCAAGTTTATCGATGGGTCCCTCAAGATAAACAGCAAATTAAGTGGTTTGGACACCTGGTTAGGATGCAGCCACAAAGTGTACCACATAGGGCATATACCAGCAGAAAATCCGGACCCAAGGCCAGGGGGCGACCAAGGAAGAAGTGGATTGACAGCGTGAAGGATACCCTGAACAGACATGGCCTTTCGTCTACTACAGCCTCCAGACTCGCCGTCAGCCGCCAACTGTACCTCCCCACGACACCCCAGACGGTAGAAGTGGATGGATAAAGTAAAGTAAAGTAGGGTCCCTCAAGACATGTAGTGAGCCAAAGGCAATAAATTTGTTCCTCAGCACTCAGAGGAGGAAGTCGATTACTCCAAAGGGGCTGCAGGGCTGCTTTTGAATTAGAATACAGATGATGGAGAATCACTCAAAACAAGTGTTGAGAAACTAAAATATATTTGCAGAACAGCACACTTGTGTATACTATATTGGTAGGGCCCTATATATAATACACTTAAGGCCACACCAATTTAATTTGTTGGTTCTCGGATTTTTTCAGAAAAAATATGAAGCGACAGGGCGAAAAAAATAAAAATAAAAACAGGTCTAGGCATCCTATTATAGGCTTAAATGCTACGAAATGAGCCATGAAGTCAACACAAAAGGCTGGGTTAAAATTTAAACATTGAATTTTGAACTTTTAATCAAACCACTGCAATGATAGATGGGAAAACTGTAACAACTAGGAAGAAAAGTACTTTCCTCAACTGTTGAGGGCAAAACATCAGCATTTTTCAGTTGATTCAGGACCAGAATCATATATATATTTTTTTTTTTGCAAATCAGAAAAAAACGAAGAGGCGAATCCGAGAACCAACAAATTAAATTGGTGTGGCCTAAGATTGGGTCTTCCTGTGACTGGCATTCATAAAATCAAGATTGTATGGCTTTTTGAGACCCCTGTCAAACAAAATAGAGAATTCTAATAATTATGAGCTATTGGATTTTTAACAAAAAGGCACTCTCTAATATCTTAATTGGAGCCTATTGTACCTCAGATTGGTGTTCAGGAGGGAATGTAGTCCTTAGAAACAGGAATGTGAGGCCATTTTAACATCATACATGTTATTCCTGCCTGCTGTTGTTATCCACCTGTCCACATGAGGAAGCCTGCTCCCATATGGCAACAATTTCACGCAGCAATTTCATGGCAAGCTATTTCCAGAGGACCCTCAACCATGAGAAGCAAGAACTGACTTACATGTGGCAAAAATTATTCCTGACGGGGCAAAAACTGTGTACGTACAGGAGTGTAAGAAAACTGTATTTTTTTGGCGAATTTTTCCTTTGTACATTGGCTGCTTTGATGTACGTCAAGAACATATGTTCAGATCATACACTGCCTGAAGGGTTGGCATATGGTCTCAATGTACGTTCTTGATGTGCATCAGACTTACACCCAGGAAAAATTTGACATATGTACATAGTTTTTATACCATCAGGTTTTTGCCCATGTGTAAATTGGGTCTAAGTTTGTGTGACTTTAACTGTTGACATTTTTGTCTCTACTTTAAGCATCTTTCATGTCACACCTGTTCACACAAGGGAGGCTGTTACCATATATGGCGGTGATTTCATGGCAGGCTATTTCTGCAGGACGTCATCCATAAAAATCAGGTCTGTGTGGTACCGACTGCCATGTTACACCTGCCAAAATGAATTGCCAGTAGTGGGTGTCTAATGCTTCTATGGCTGCAATTTCGAGGCAGGCTCTTGCCAGCTTTTAGTAGTATACATACATTATATGGGGCAAGGGCAAAAAGGCAGTAACCATTGGGCCATTCCATTTTGAGAAGGCCAGGGGGTGCTTGTGGCCTTCTCAAGTACGTAACTGGTAACTCAAAGTAAAAAGATAAAGTCTCTAAAGAGTTACAGAACTTGATTATGTTGTATTACTATTATATGTACTCTGTAATGTTCTATCTGGATGTCTAACCTTCATTAAAATGATCATGACACTCTCCATTTGAGTGACCCTATTCCTTTTTAACATTTAGCAAACTGAAATAGCCATTCTCTATTGGTTACAGGGTTAGGAAGCAGGAAGAAGGTTAAGCCGAACATGAAAAAACATTTTTGGAAACTGTCATGTCACATTTCAACTCCTGATATGCTTAAATGGGGTCTATGTGAAAAAAGAATGCTCCAATATAGAGAAAACATTTGCCTCACGACAGTACAGGCCAGGAGGATGTTATTCTATTCCACACACGCTGCCTTTTATGTTCCGCCCAGACACATTATACTTTATTAATGGCTGGGCTGACAGGTGGGGAGATTGCCACTGTCAATTCAATTTACAACATAATGTGCAACACAGTCTTTTATAATGTTACATCGTGTGGATGACTTGGCTCAAATTAAGGCAGAAGCAATGCAGTTTCTCGGTTGTAAGGATTCAAATCACGTAACATGTATTGTCCTGTAGTATTACAATCCGTTTACTTTAATACTCAATGTTTACTTACACGTGTACAAGTTAACCTACACGTGCAAGACACTGGTACTAAGTGTACTGTGGCCAAAAAAAACTTGGCAAAGACCATGGAACGAAATCTGTTTCTACTTAAAGAATCCCAGAGCTAATACTTCCCTTCAGACATTCTTAATTTGTACTTTGTCTATTTTTTCGTCATCATTCATTTTTAGACAATGATAAGAATAAAAATCTACAAAATACAGCAGTTAATTGATTAAAAAATAAGAGATAACTTTGGTTGATTTCAGTTCATGAGCAAGTCTCTGAATCTGTTTATTCAACACTGACATTTCAGACTCCAGACCCCAGAAACCACAGTGATTGCTCCTATCCTATACTACATGTATAGCCTGCACTGCAGCCTTTCTTTGGTGATTCAACACACTAAAACGTTTCTACGGCCATTTATCCTCTGATCTGCAACAGAGGGCAGCATTTAACCTTCAGGCTGCTAAAGGTACAATGTAGCCGTTTGGCACAAAATTTGCATTGGTTACCTGCTCAGTCAGCAGGGAGAAGGACAAGCCTGTTTATAGACAGAACAAAGCCTGTTGTTGTCGGTAAATTCTCTAGTCCAGATGCCAGACCCATAGCATGCTACATGTAGGCCCAGGGTCTTACTGAGGGCGACTGTGGTACACTATTTTTTGGGGTCATGTTGGCCCTGGAGCCAAGGACCTGGAGTGTAGGCCCTGGGAACAGTCTGGCACCCAGCCTAAGGAGCTGGCCTGTGTAGGCCCTGGCAACAGTCTGGCACCCAGCTTAAGAAGCTGGCCTGTGTAGGCCCTGGAACAGTCTGGCACCCAGCCTAAGGAGCTGACCTGTGTAGACCCTGGCAACAGTCTGGCACCCAGGCTAGCCAGTCTCCTGTCTGTCTCCTTTGTGCCCTCTGCCACGGCGAATCCTCTCAGCCTCTGGCCTCCCAGCAGGATATTTACTCAAAGGTGCTTGTGACTGTTGCCTTTTCCCTGCTCTATCATCTGCAGTTGTCAGTCACAGAAAGCCCCCAGACGGCCGCTCGGTACCCTCTTTCAGACAGAAGCCCTTCTATTCAGGATTCTAACAAAAGCTGTCCGCTCCATGTGCCGTGGTTCTTGTTGGACAAGGGTTCCGGACTCTTCTGTGGAGGAGGAGGTTTGTTTGCCCTGCTGCCAGGTCAGGAGGACCCGTGACCTTCATTGTTCTCTTGTTTGACCTTGGACATTGATCTGCTCTTGATGTCAGTATATTCCAGAGACTGTGGAAAAGGCTTGAACTTACGACACTGTGAGAACATCAGCAAATCTATTGTGGAGAAAAAAAAATTGACACCGAGTGTAATGTAATTACTTCAAAGACATCCCAAAATTTCACGTCAAAATTTGCAAGAACATTAAATTTGGACTCTGATATTGACTGTTTTTACGTTGTGACAAATTCAGCCATGAAAGTGTCACTACTTAACGTTGCCTTGACAGTTTCATTCCTCCTAACTCAAGTCTCCTCGCAAAAGAACAACAAGAGCGAGCAAGACTTGACCTGTGACCCTGGATGCAGGGGACCAATGGGGCCGCCCGGCCAGCGTGGTCGCCCCGGCAACAAGGGGATGATGGGATTGCCGGGGTGGCGGGGCGAGGCCGGACTACGCGGGTTACCGGGAAGCAAAGGGCCGCGAGGGAGGCTCGGGAAACCTGGCAAGCCTGGACCTCAGGGTCCGCCGGGTACGAAAGGTACGTTACGCTATCATGGTAATGCTTTTCCAAAATTTTATCCATGAGCAACATACTATTGTAGAATATGGTGACTCTGAATAAACCTCTTGGTTATGTACTGTATAAAGAGTCTTCACAGTGGATGATTCAGAGTTAGAAATTTTTTTAATGAACTTTCTGGTACGACAGCAAAATAACCTGTGTTAGAGAGCATTGACTTAAATGTAGTTCATTAGTTCTATTAAAGATGTTCTTTACGAGTCCAACTCCATGATTCTATCATTAAGAGAATGCACAGTGTAATTACATTCGGCCTGGGAGACAACATATCTAATTCAACAACATCCTAAAGCTTTTACAAAATTTGTTCTTTGAAAAGCCCAGTATGATCTATTGGACTTGAATCTAAAAATATTTTGTCCACTTTTCTATTAAATACTATCCCAGGGGATGCAGGGAAAGAGGGAAGAAGAGGAAGAAAAGGTGACAGAGGCGACCCCGGATCCTCAGGATCTTCCCTCCTGTATAACCTGGCCTTTTCTGCGGCCCGAACCTCGCCGCTCGGACCTGCGTACCGCAACGACGAGGTTATCATCTTCGACCACGTGTTCACGAACGTGGGAAACGGTTACGACGTAGCGACAGGGAAGTTCACGGCGCCGGTGGACGGTGTTTACGTCTTCATGTACAACATTCACAAGAACCTCGCCTCACACGGGATGCGGGTGGCTCTCATGCACAACGGGGAAATACAGGTTAGTAAAGGGGTGTTATCTAACTAATACCTAGTATAGTAGTAAAAATTTTCAATTTTGTTTTGCAGGTTAATTTTTTTTGTTCGCACACAGTTTGTTTTTGCAGCATGTACTTTAAGTTTCTAATATTGACAGTGATTAACGCATTTTCAATTTGTCCCTATAAAAGTATAATCAAAGAAAAACATAAGCTTTTAGGTCTCCTATCCACATATCATATCTCATCTTATAATTCATAAGTTGATCTATAATTACTTCTTCTGGGTATGGAAGTATTATTTTGGGTGGCTGAGCTGTGGGTTAGTATGTCTGTTTGTCCAGACAGATTAGGTTGACAGCACATGGGTGGGGGAAGATTGACAGACAGAAAAAATGAAAGAATCTGGCTGGGAGGAAGCTGGAACTTGATGTCAACATGGGGGCATTTAAGAGGCCGACGACTGCATTGTACAATGTACTTCCTGGAAATCCAAAATCTCCATTTCTTGCTTAATTACTCTGATACAATACGCCAAAAAGCAGTTACTCTAGCAACTGGATATGATTTTGAAAATCATATCCAGTTGCTTGAGTAACTGCTTTTTGGCGTATCCTATTACCTGGATGTCTAACCTTCATCGACGTACTCTGATACAACTTTTTATAACACTAAACAACAGGTGTTGGCCGAGGATGTGAGTGGAGACCCACACGACATGGCGGGGAACAGCGTGATCCTGCAGCTGACGGAGGGGGACGGGGTCTGGCTGGAGCTGCTGCAGAAACAGGCCATCAACAGTAACAAGAGCAGGCAGAGCACCTTCTCTGGCTACCTGCTGTTTACAATGTAACACCTGGGCACGAGAATTCAGGGCTTGAAGCACTTAGAAATATCATAAAACCTGCACCAGACAAATTTTATCTACATTAGATGTACAGTACTTGCAGTGCTCAAAGTACTGGGTTCTAATCTGTGCGCCCAAAATTGTAGCTGTGCAATGTAATTTTGACTGTGGGAACACTAGAAGTGCACCTACCCTTTTCAATGAGTATTGTGGGTTCTTTAACATACAGGAACTTATGGTATACCTACATTATCACATACATACGTACGCACGCACACACACCCATGCATGCACACACATACACAAACTCAAAGTTTAACACAACAGGCCTTCTGACAGTGAATCCTTAGTCTGTTCAGCCCTTTAGTAATTGCACTGATGCAGCCATTGAAAACATACTGCAAAATCCTAGCATCTCTTTGAGTCCATCTAACTTCACTTTATAACATAGTTTGTCCCAGAACACCTGTCAACATAGTGATGGATCAGTAAGCCATTAGAACAGCTCCGACCTTCACCCCAGATATCACAAAAATCCTACCTTCGGGCATCTCTTAGCTCAGAACAAGCCTGATATGGCAGCAGGCATGTGGGTCCTGATGTCTGATGTGTTTCAACTTGAACTAAGTTGACCTTAAACTGCCACTGGAGTGCCTAGGATTACTTGAAGTATGCAGTATGCAAAGTACTCACTGCTAACTTGGAACATGTAAAGTGTTACCTCTGCCCAAGACGTTATGGTATGTTTTCACCAGCATAATAATAAATAGCTCTGTTGGTTTGTGAATAGGACAAATCAGAAAGTGAAGACAGTCACTGGGTAAAAAAAGATTCTTGTGTACTTGGCAAGAGAGACATTGCCAAGTGGTTAGATTTTGAGAAAGATCGAGGTCAGGATTGGAATGCAGTATTCTTCGAAAGAGTTACTAATTATTGCCTAAAATAAGGCCTTCCTTTGCAAGTAGCAAAACATGGGGTAGATATATTCTAGCATGGACAGAACTATGCTACATTGATGGTAGTTCGCACTTTTTATTAACTTCTGTGATCATAGTACTTCTGAGCCCATCTTCAACTTACTTTTCTGTAATTTTCATTCCTTCTGACCACAAATCTACCACCCTCTCAGCATAAATAATGGCCCGTCCCTGAATACCTTTCAACATTCCGCTAGATTAGGTAGAGTGCTCGTGACCTTGGACTTTCCATATTACAAGAATTCTTTGCCTGAGGCAAAACCCTATCCAAAACACCTGTCAATCACCTGATATAGGGTCAGTGGGGAGGGGTCAACCGAAATGGAGTAGGGCGAAAGTTGTCAAGGGAAAAATGGTCCTGGCAAAGGGAAAAACTTTTTTATAAGAACAACTCATAATCACAATAATATCATGATCATGCAAAGGACTGCATGCGCCCTGTCAAATAGCATGCACATTGAGTGAGCTACATTATACAACACCTAGGAATTTTTTATTTGATCTGAGTGTCAACCCTCTTGAATGTGTGAAAGCAGCATTACTAGCATTAAATGATACAACTGGCTTGCTATGTTGAATTGTATGTATGCAATTTTTACAAAATTATGTGTTATGTAGTTTTCTAGCCTATTGTTCTCTGCAATCTATTGGCAGCAAGTAATTAAAAAGTTTGAGTGACAAGGTCATTTTGTTGTTTTTCTTTCCTTCATTTTGTGGTTCAGACCACAGTCACTTTTATCATGTTGTGAGTAAGAAACACAGAGGGATTTCCTGTACTACAAGGTCAGAAGATTATGTCTAACATTGAGCTTACCACTGGTATTCAAAACATTCCCACTGTGCGGGAGACTAGTTTGGACTCGCTGAATGATGTGATTAAAATAGTTTCTGCTCAGAAATGCATACATGTAAGTTATATTAGAACTACCAACATTTGTTTGGCCAATCACCATCATGGGATGGAAAAAACATAGCAGTTAGGGAGCTACCAACTGAAAGGCACAATTCTATAATAAACTTCAGGTGGTTAGTTAAAGTCAAGATCCCATAGCTCTTTTTAGAGGCTGTATTTTGCCACATCGTACATTCACCGTGTCTTGGGCACTGTACTGGGGGTTGAGCTCATCTTCCATTACCTCGAATTCTGAACTGAAGTTAGGTGCCCATTTTACTCCTGGCTAGAGGGACAAAAGTAGAGTCTTTTAGACAGTCCATACAAAGGAAACAAAAATAAGACAAGTTCATATAGCAGCTCCGCCCACCTGCCAAGTTGACAGGTTGTGTGAAGACGTCTTCCTGCTCTGTCCGAGTTCTGTTGTCTGCCTGGACAAACCACCTGTATGACCTTGCAGGGCTCAAGGTCGTGGGGGTCAACAAGATGTCCACCCCACCCTCAAACACCTTCCTGAAGTCATTGGCTATCAGCCTCCGTATTCTCTGGGCTTGTGTGAAATAGTGGTCGTAATGTCTGCAAAGAGGTTGAAAAAAAAAAGATTTTAGAAATGAATTTACTTCCATCCTCTATAACAATTGTTAGTTTGCTTTCAGGATTTTTCAAAAGTTTGTTGGATCTAAGTTGAAATGGAAAGAATTATACCATTTTTTTTTATTTGCAGAATTTGCAAACATTTAGAAAATAAAGAGTTCCTTACCTTCAAAAGTTTTTTTACTTATTCAAACAAATTGCAAACAAATTTGAATTTAACAAAAAGTTACTGCATGACTAACCTGAAAATTCACTGTAAACATAATTAACTTCAACAAGGAAAGAAAAATTGTACAATATTATGACTAATGAGGAACTTTACACACTGGATTCTACTATGTTAGAATTTGGACCCACCTCTTGAGTAGGAAGTAGTTGCCTGCCAGTATCCGGCCCCTCACCACGTCATTAAAGCCTTCATGTCTGGTCTGGGCGTACAGGGCCTCCGTGGAGCTGTGGTCTGAACCTCTGTGGCCTGACATGGGAACATTAAACACACAATCATTCAGTTGTTACTTTGATAAAGAACTTGTGATTTTACCAACAACATTGTACATACAGTGTCTGCTGGTTCATAGGGTGGATGGGTGGTTGGTTGGCTAACTGGATAGTTGGTTGAGTAGTTGGTTGGTGTTTGGTTAAGTGGTTGGTTGGTTGGTTTTGTGTGTGTAACTGTGTGGCTGTTTGGTTGGTTTTTTGAGTGGTTGGTTGGGTGGTTGGAATATTGTGACCTTCTGTGTACCTCAGCATGAAAGTTCATCTGTGTACCTGTTTTCTGACGGCCAGCTCAATCAAATTGGCTGCCTATTGGATACTGTCTACTGATAGATCTGCTTGGAGATTACCTATAAGTTTCTCTATCTGTATAGCCAGTATAACCGCCCATTGGTGTAACCAGCTTCGTAGGCATGTTGCGTGGTGGCAAGTTTAACCCCCAGAATAATTATTTTAATTATTTCCAGTCCATCTCTTACCAAACTCCAGCCCGTCATATCTGGCCATGTTGGAGGCCACCTCTGCAGCACAAAGGACGGAGTAGCAGACAATGGAGTACGGGGTGTGCGGCAGGGACACCTGCGAAACCCGTGCACCTGCGTCCTCCAACATGTCAGCCGCTCGCTTCCAGGTGCTCAGCGTTTCTTCAGACAGGTGTGGAGCATGGTACTCCTGTATGGTACGACACAATTCATTCAGTCATCGGCAAATGGCCTTTCATTTGAAGATGCCGAGAAGCTAACAGTATGCAAAAACCACACAGCTCAGAGAACCCTGATCCAGACCCTGAACTGACTGAATGTGGTCTACACGCAATAGGGTGAGCAGGTGAGCATTGGCAAAGTTTACAAGACATCATTATAATTTATTTATATGATCACAGAATGTCATATTATGCACATTAACTACATACTTTCTAATACAGTCTAATAATCAAGAAAATAAGTCACACAGTTCGATCAAATTTGTTGTAGAAAATCCTTGGATTAAATGAATATGTATAGAGATAGACTCTGATAGACTGAGACGTTCACTGACTAAATCTACCATGAAACAGCACCTAAAAATGAGTTGCTGCTGACATATATAAAGCCTTAGGAATGATTTCACTTGAAAAACAAGTTACCTTAGGAATGCCGACATGCAGACGCGTAATGTCGATGTGTTCAGGTAGAGAGAAGGGCTGGAAGGGGTCGGAGACTGTGGTGGAATCTTTAGGGTCATGTCCTGCCAAAGCACCTGGTGACAGACGGCACACACATGGTTTCATTTGGTGGAGAAACTCTTTATAAACTTCCATACCTGCACATGTATCTACCGGTATATAGCATATGGCCTACATTGTAAGCTGCCTTATCTGTATACTAGTACCCTAGCACATGTCATGTATATGCATACTTTGTATTGCACAGCAGTTTAACTTCCTTTTGGAATATGATACCAGTTCTTTACCTAGTGTTTCTTTGTTTGTTTCACACAACCAGTAAACCACCTTTAGGCCAGCTAAGTTAACGTCTAAGAACAAAATTTGACTGACTTTGGTCAAAGCCGACATGACTGTCTACTTAGGGTCCTCTAATGTGTACAAAGATAGGATCACCTATCATACAGATAACTACATGAACATGTTCCCTCTAACAACACTTACTGACTGTAATCCCGCAGTTTGCAAATGGAAGTCTGGGACATAACAGGTAGGCCATTATGAGAGCTCAATCTTCAAACATCATTCTGGATTTATTTCTTTTCCCGACCTGCGTACCACTGGTGCAATTTTTCATCACAACAGGAGGAAAGTGTCAAACCGTGGAGCTGACACGGAGTTTGTTGATGTTTGGGTAATCAAAGAACAGCGTTTATAAACTCTGAATCTTCATTCAGATCAAATGTCAGTCATGTCTGACTCAGTAAGGTGCATGTACATGTACTTCCTTTGCTTTGCTTGCATTGCCAGTGTCACAACTATGGTACTACTTCAGCTCCGGTACATTTGTAGGCTTAGCTAAGAGTCTGTGGTAAAATATGTTGCTATCCACTGTCAAGTTGTCATTTGCATTACACTTACAGCACATCTGTCTTTGTAATCCAAATGTTTATACATTGTAGAAGATACTTGTAGTGTGTTTCAGGCTACAGTTCCAAGATTAATGTGCTGTTCTGAGGGATATATGCCCTCTTTGATTTCAGACAGACCGAACCATTACCATGAGAGCGGTAGAAGAAGAAGAATGAGGCTGATGTTGTTAGGTTCTTGTAGTACGTAGACACACTACCAGTCTGTTTCAAGGTGGGTTCTGTTCCACTGCTAGAGAAAGCAATTTAAAACTGAAGACTATCAGAAGTACTTAATCGTCTGACATCAAGTGTTGACATGACTAATCCAGTCTTCTCTATCCAAACCTTCCAGTGATAAGAAGTAACAATGCTGACTAACAGCTGGTCGGGGATATGCCTGAATGTCCTTTAGCAGGCCTAAATAATATACAGGCAATGTGCAAAGAAAAACCATGTTTTTCTTAGTTATACCAGTATTGCTTCCTTCTATTAAAATGAAATTAATCTGACACTAACCCTAACAGCCTGGTAATACTAATTCAGTTAGCACACTAACCTATTGAAAATGCAGTTACATGTACTAACTTATTAACCAAGTGACAAAGTACAACCCACTAACCCAACATGATCACTGCATCATCCACACACCGGGTGAAGATGCCCGGAACATCCAGCGAGTTGACCAATGGGATCAGTCCGTGGCGGGACAGTAAACCGTATGTCGGTTTCAGCCCAACCACTCCACAGTAGGAGGCAGGATTCCTGACGGAGCCACCGGTGTCTGAGCCTAGAGCACTGTGGAAAAGACTTGATGTTTCAGGATACAATGTTCCTTATATTGGGTAACATCTTCTAGTCACCCTAAAAGTCATGTGAGTGAGCAAATAAAAAAAAAATATATGAAATCTTTGTCAGGACAGCTGAACAAATGACTAAAAGCAAAAGCGTGGTATACGCAATAATACCATACTCTGTGCCTTCAGTATTCATACACAGTCCATCACTTCCTGAATTCCTCCATGTACAGCCCACTTACATTGTACTCCCACCCGACTCGTACTGGCTTGACCAAACCTGCCAATCAAGTAACCAAACCCACTCTCCCTGCACTCATCATCTCTGTAGGACGAGCATACACACAAAGTCACAAACTCACAGACAAACCCACCCAAAACAATACCTCCACACCAGGAGGTAACAACTACAACAAAACTTACGCTTTGCAAATCCCAGCAGCCACAGCCACTGCACTGCCACCTGAGCTTCCCCCTGTAATGAACCAATCACTGTCCTCCGTGGAAGTCACATGATGATGCATAGTCCTCATTTGCATACTTTTTGGCTTTAGGTCATGACAACTGTCTCTGATTGGCTGAGAGTCTTGTTCTTGATGCCTTGTTTGGAAGTTGTATTTCCATGGGTTCCTGACAGGTCCAAAGATGCTGTCTACACTACCAGATCTGTGGACAACAAGACAGCAACACAATCAGACTTTGGACTTCAAAAGATAAGTACATAATACTTGAGACTAAAAAAGGCAAGGAAAATTCAATAGTACATGACACTTAAGACTAAAAAACTTCAAAGATATCCACATACGTACATGCATTGTATCAATGGTCATTGGAAGTGCTGGAAACTTCAATGCACATCTGGTAATAGATTAATGTACATTCCCTTTTCAAAGTCTTTCCAAAAGACCAGTACTATAGTCATTCAATTCAACTTCTCCTCTACACCAGTGTGAAATGTACTAGTATATGCATCATAAGCACCATCTATTGATAGAAGTCAGTACTGCATACAGGTGAGGAAATTTTCTGCATTTTAATCCATCTCACAAAGATAAATTTTGCTGAAATGTATTTTTGTGGCAATTTCTTCAATGGACGCCTTGTCAATGGAAATGTGCACTTTAAATGTGAGACTGCACAAAGGTGGGTGTCATGAAACCCTTCTTGTACCAGCTTATTGTCAGTTAATATCCACATGTAGCTTACAAGCACCATCTATTGGCTAGAGCTGGTACTGCAGGTCCTACAAATTGTCCTTCAGCTCTAAGACAGAGTTAGGCAAAAGCAACACCTTATGACAAACTTCCTGATGCCAGCTTTCTCCAATGATTATGATGATAACATGATGCTATAATGCTGTGTAATGTTTGGGGTATCTGTATAGCCAGTATAACCACCTTTCGGCATAACACACCAGCTTCGCAGGCACGCGGCGCGGCGGCAGCTGGCTACATTACACCGATCGACTTGTTACACCTAGCCCTTGGACATCAAACTCTAGACAATGTAATGCCCCTACTGTACTGGGGTGTGTGCAATTGGGGTGTGTGCAAGCCTGTGAGAAAAGCATTTTTCTGACAGCTGAATGCATTTCTCCTATAGCCTCCACCAGGCTTTTCTATGGGAATACGGATAGTAGAATTCGGCAAAAAAAGAGAATAAAATTGGCCAAGGGAGTCCGGCCACGGGGAGGTAGTTTCTTTCCCTCCTGCGTGGCCCAGTCAAACCTACAAGACGGCCAAACTCCCCCGGCAAATATTCTCCTATAGGAATCAGGACGACTCGGACCATTACCAACTCGGCCCATCGCAAATTTGGTCAACTCGGCCCACCGCCCTGGTTAACTCGGCCCACCACCAAATCAACCATGTTGACTATGAGGTTTTTTAAAGTCCCAAACCGCCGGTGCTTGGACAATCAACATGATTTTATAGAGACCGCGTCTTTTAAATTTTGTCAGATAACTTCGAACTGTAGACTTTGAGGGTTTTTTAAAGTCAAAACCCGCCTGTGCTTGGGCAATCAACATGGCTTTAACCGAGACCGCGATTTTTTGTTAGACAACAAAATTAAACTATTGAATTGTTTGGCTATAAAACGGGATATAAAAATTCTAGTCATTCAGATACACGATACAGTGTTCGAAATACCTGTCTGCAGTCTGCAATCTGCAGATAGATTTCAAAGATTGCAGAAGAAAAATTTATACAATCTGCAATTTTGCAGCAGGAAAAATTGGCACTTGGGATTTGACGCTCTTGGCCCCAAGGACAGACAACGCTTAAGCTCCTGTTCTGAAACAACAGGAGTTTCTTCACTAATTTACATCAACTTTGTCTTGACTTGTTTATCTTTTGTTTCCTTTTGGACTTCCAAAAATTTGTCTTCACTAATTTGCATATCAATCAATAGTTCATGCTTATAAACCTGCAAGATTGTAGTATAGAGGCTTGTGTATTTGCAGAAAGTATTTCCAAATTGCAGAACAAAATTTTGACTCTTCTGCAATATTGCAGACCACTTAAAAAAAGTATTTCGACCACTGCGATACTAGGCGGATTAATTTGTTCACATTATTTTAGTACATTCTTACTTTGTTTCATGGCGATAGTTATGTGACTATTGTACGGATTACTTTAGTAGAAATAGTATGTAATTGTAAGCCTTCAATTAACGTCGTTTGTTGAATAAGGAGTGGCGCTAGTTCTGTTCGTTATACCTGTGGAAAAAGAAAGAAATTACATAAGTTGAATAAACTTCTTATTGAAGATTGATGATATTTGTTCGAAAATTGACATCGTGTGTACGTGTGTTTCTGCCTAAATTACTGTCTCCGGATTGGGCCGAGTTGACCCGGGAGTTGGGCCGAGTTGACCAGGTAGATGGGCCGAGTTGTCTGGGCCGAGTCGGTAATGGTCCGAGTCGTCCGACATTCCTCCTATATACATGTATAGCCAGCGTAGTTAGTCTGGTAGAGACTATTTCTCCTAGGAGTTAGTCGCGAGTCTTACTTACCCCATAGCAAACTCGTCCATGTTGGTTTTCCCTAGAAGCACAGCTCCTCTGTCCACTAATCTCTGCACCATGGTGGCATTGTAGGGTGGGACGTAGTCTACAGGAAAGAAACAGAGCCATGGAGAAATTTAGATGGATTATAATAAATCACTGTCTGATCACTTGTACATTTTTTTTTATGCGGACGTACATGTGAAGAGAAACACCCTGTCTTGCAGGTAATGCTTAATGACATGAGTATGACTTACATGTATTTGAAAAAATAAGTACTGTACATGTATTGGAAAAAAATAAGACATGGAAAATCTCTTTAATCTCATCTACTGGGTAAATTATCCCATGCTCTAATTGTTTGACCGTTGGGGCACCACAGATGATCTGAGAACCAGTTTTCTTCACCCTTCTTAGTTTTCTGTTTTACTTAGTGCTGTGCTGGTCAATTCTCTAGTACATGTACATGTATCTGCATCATATTAAACTCCCATGGTTCAACAGATTAAAGTCTCCTCACTTGACAGTGTGAACTCATTTTTAAGACTTCAAGTTCAACGACACCTAGTTTGAAAACAAAGTTAACATTTCCACTTGTTGCTGGCTGTAAGAGAAAGTTTCACTCTGTTAATGATCACACAGGAAGTGTGTGGGTGGAGAAGAGTGGCATCTTCCTGCGTCACACGTTGGTTTGATCGGGAAAAACATCTTACATAAACAGGAAGAGCTGATAAAGGAGGGAGAGATGACTGACGTTTTTGTGCGTCAGATGTTAAGAAGATATAAAAATCATCAGGAAGTGCTGATTGGACCTGGGGCCTGGCCAGTGGGAGGCTGTTGGAAGGCTCAGCTCCTGCTCCTGGCTTGCTTTGTGTTGGGCAGATATGCTTGTCAATGTACCAGTACCGAACATCTCAAGAAAACAGGAAGAAGAAATAAATGAGGGGGAGGTTTTGTACATATAAGTACAAACTGTGTAAGACTGGATTGCAAGGTTTGAGCCACTCACACTGGGAAGGTCCCCTACTCTTTTCAATATTAGTGCGATGGGTTCTTAAACGTGCGTGGGGTGTGGCTCTCATTTAACGTCCTGTTCGAGGGACATCCCTAACCAAAGTTAGGTACTCATTTACACCCGAGTGAAGTGGGGAAAGTCGTGTAAAGTGCCTTTCCAAAGGGCATAAGATCAGTGACAAAGTGGGGTTTGAACGAACCTGGGACCTCTTGGTTCCGAGCCGAAGACGCTACTGTTATGCCACACGCCCACACAAATGCTAAGTACTAAACAGAGAAACTGGTATAATTGCCCTATGACCTGAGAAAGAAAATTGGGCATTGTGAAGTCATTTTCATGCCACCTACAAAGTTTGCACTTGTTGCTGGCTGTCTGTGAATGATCACACAGCGAGGCCACGTGTTGTGGTAAGTATGAGCGACACTCTCCTTCATTTGATCCTTAATGTAATCAAGATGAACTCTCACAAAACCAAAAACATGATCAAGATATAAATGAGCAGGAGATGAGTGATATCTACTCTTAATGTGATCAAAGGAACCATCCAGAAGTCTTGCTCTAGGGCATAGATGAATATAGAGTCTGAAGAATAAATTAACGGCTGGTCCTGCCACTGCCAGGCTTCATGTTGGGCATATATAGAATATGGGTGTTATACCATGGTGAAAAAAGTAGTATTGTGTAGAGTATCTGTAACAGTATGTAACTTTTATGCAAACTATTATTAATAGTGCAATTTTCATTGCCCTATCTAGTACTAGTATTATACCTACTTAACAGCAAAGGGTTAGTGTCACATATAATGAGCAGTAAGACGAGCACACTGTAAGGTTAGAAATGTATATTCTTTATTGTGGAAATCATACTTTACTTCAGCCATTGAAGGCTGCCGATCTGTAATGATGAGGATTTGAATAAAATATCTATTCATTCAATTCTGACATTGTTCTACAAGGCCATTGCTCCCAACTTGTGCTTGGAAAATCAACACCATAATAATTATCATACATTGTATATAAGGGTGTTGAGCATGCATCTGCTGAAGTCATTTTCCATATTTCAAGTTCAATGACACCTAGTGACCTAGTTAACATTTCCACTTGTTGCTGGCTGTAAGAGAAAGTTTCACTTGTATGATCACACAGGAAGTGATGTGTGGGTGGAGAAGAGCGGCACCTTCCTGCATCACACGTTGGTTTGATCGGGAAAAACATCTTACATAAACAGGACGAGCTGATAAAGGAGGGAGAGATGACTGACGTTTTCGTGCGTCAGATGTTAAAAAAGATATAAAAATCATGACGAAGTGCTGATTGGACCTGGGGCCTGACCAGTGGCAGGCTGTTGGAATCGTGAGGAAGGCTCAGCTCCTGCTCCTGGCTTGCTTTGTGTTGGGCAGATATGGTCGCTGATGTAATTACCGGTAGGGAGAACATCTCACGAAAACAGGAAACAGAAATAAATGAGGCGGAGATGAGGGATAATCTAATATTCATGTTGGAAGCATGAAGAAGGCTGGTTACTGCTCCTGGCTTGCTTTGTGCTGGGCAGACCAGCGTGTCTAGTGTATCTCCTGCATTGAAACTAGTGGTGAAAAATATTAGAAAACTAGTGGTTATATCTAGCAGGTATTGCATGATATTGAATACATGTATAAAACAGACAACAGGTTTTGAGGTTTGCTTCAGTGTTTGATGTTGAACCCAAAAGTACGTGTACACTTTAAATGAGTTACTAGTTGAAAAAGTATGGTGTGCATGTATGAAGGCTTAAAGCAGACAGCTTAAACTACAACACCAGTAAGCCAAACAAACAAACAAACAGACAAACAAACAAACAAACAAACAGACCTCTGAGTATTCTCGAGGAACATGTTGTTCTGATACCAGCAGTGCTGAAGGCGTCTTTAATGGTGACAGGAATACCGTCTAAGACATGTAGCCGACTTCCTGTAAGGCATAGGGAGTGAAGAAACTTTCAAAAGTCACTTTAAAGGAAATGATACCTAAGTTGACAAGAATTGAAGGTTTATCATCAATGGTCGAACTTAACTTGAAGCAAAACAAAAAACTAAACTTGCCCAAATTGACTGAGAAATATCAAATAGAGTTAAGTTACAGAAGTGGTGAATTGTTCATTCCAATTGACAAAGATTACATCCACACGTACTGTTAAAAAATTTGGTGCCATCCTGCCTTTGAAGCCTTACCCTAGTCTCCATCAGACTCTTTTGCTGGCTGAATAAATAGTATCTGTATCTGTATAGCCGGTATAACCGCCCTTCAGCGTAACACACCAGCTCCGCAGGCACGTGGCGCAGCGGCAACAAGCCATATCACACCGAACGACTCATTACACTTAAAATCTTTGCACATTTGATTGTAGGAGTTGTTTAAAGCTTTCTAGTGATGATGTGACAACTTTAGAAATCAGCCTAAAAAGAATGTAGCTCATGACCAGGGGAGTTGGCTGGCCACAGATCTGAGGGTCCAGTTTGCAGACTGGCCTTACCCTGTCTGTGCCTGAGGGTGGACTCTGCAGCCTGCTGCCCCGCCATGTCGTATGTCTCCGTGATGAACACGTTGAGCTGCTGAACCTGCCTGGCCCTGGCCACACACGCAGCACACAGCTCAGCCGCTGTCACGGACCCCTCATTCAGCACCCGAGCTGTCTGCAGGGGGGGAGAAAAAAGCACAACATCGTGAACCGACTGAAGTTTTCTTTACTTGCATGTAATGAATAACCTCATGGGAATCTACTCTCCAAGCAGAGGTTGTGGGGGAATGATCGTTACCTTTTTACATATGGCCGTTTTTTTTTTGTGGCGACCTTCTCTGGCTAATGGATACTGCCTGCATGGCCAATTTGATACTGTCTTTTTGCCACCGAGAGGGATCTGCTTGGAGATTAATGGGAATCATACTTCTCACACTTTTTGTCCTGTATGATACAACCACAGACAATATTAAAGAGATAGCTGACTGGTCCCAATTACACTATTCACAAACACACATGACGTGTATACACACACACGCGCATGTGTGCACAAACACACACACACACGAATGCACACACGTGCACACACACACAAACACACACATTCAGACATACACACACACACACACAGACACACACACACAAATTCAGACACATTCACTGAATTAGAAATGCTAAAATTATACAATATTTCACTCCTGGCTCCCTTGGGGAATCTTATGTCACATCAAACCAGCCCTTTACTTACAGTAACTATTGATTACATGTAGTATAAGACGTGTACACCAACCTACGTGTGGTCCAAACCAATTTAAAGCTCTTTGCCAAACTATAATGTGTTCACACCCTGATTTATGAGAAGTTTGAGCCACTGGGTAATATAACATAATACATGCAACGGTAGGTAAATTTGAGAGGATTAGAGTTTCAGACTTAGAGTTACCTCCTTCAGCGTGAGCCCCAGCATGCTAGAAAAGTTCCACTATGCGGCAAAACTTGTGAAAGGAGTCAAGGACACATTCACGTATCCCTGCTCCATAACACTTGGACCTGCACATGTGCACGAGATGGTCCACTGTTGTTTTAGGGGTGTATATTTTACATCTTAGGTCTAAAACATATTTTACGTCGTAATAAAGATATGAATTTGATATAAACATACATTTAAAATTTTTAATGATATTTTGATAGATTTGAACTCTATACTTTGCCTGTGTTTGAATTTTAAGTATATTTCTTTTCATACTTCTTACCCTTTCAGATTTTGAACTGTTCTACACGAAAGGTCAAAGGTGAGGGGTCATTACAGGAGATGACCTTCTGGCTTACACATGTTATGAAAGTCCAAAACAAGTATTTTCCGTATTTCTCGTTAATTTTAGGGGCCTCTCGAAAAGTATAGTTCTTACTCGTTCATTGATGTTCATAAAAAGATAACAGAAATTTGGAATAACTACAGAAAACATGTTTATGCCGAAATTCGGACGCGTCTGTGGGTCTTGCATGACGCTTCTCATCCAAAGAGAGCCCACTTTTCTTGGAAGATGCTGTTACCTAGGAAACCAAGGATGCAGGAATTTCTCCACCAGTCAGAGAAGACCTTACATTATGAAGGCGTGGCAGCTGAGAGAGTATGGCAGCAACAAGAACTTCAGGTGTGCTTGTTTCTTTTCATTTTTATGAACTTCAAGTTACATGGAAAAAGGTAAATGCACATACGCGCACACACACACACACACACACACACACACACACACACACACACCGACAGTCACACAGACAGACACGTTCGAACACACACTCACACACACACACACAAGACATAACACACACGCGCGCACGCGCACACACACAGACATACACACACACACACACACACACACAGACATACACACACACAGACATACACACACACGCGCGCGCGCACACACACACACACACACACAGACAGACACACACATTATACATGTATATAGAGAGAGATGACATGATGATGATAGTGAGAGATGTGAAGGTAAACATTCTGTATTTGCTGCTTGCAAATGTTACCTTTTTAGTTCATCCATCCCTCCAAACATGTAACGTTAATATTCTTTCTTTATTCCAATCATCTCTCCAATCATTCTCTCAGGTTTACAGACAATGCCCCGATGCCCCCGATTATGTATCCAAACCAGATCATTGTGCAGGTGTGTGCTGCCAGTGTCAACCCCCTAGACGTGATGATGAGAGGTAAGTAATTTACTCTCCATTAAGTTCCACAGTAGGAAGCTTCAGGCCTGATTTACACAAGGGCAAAAACTGCATACGCCAAAAAGCAGTTACTTAAGCAACTGGATATGATTTTGGAAATGGTCAGACGTTTCAGGTAGCATCCATTAACTATTTTGCTGTTTGTATGTGACTGTATGTATGTTACTTGTTTATAATGTATGATACAGGGCCCCACTGAAAAGCAGTGTTACCATTGAGTGGATAAAAATGATGGAAAATAAAAAAAAAGTAAGAATAAAAATTCAGCATAACTCATAATATTCACAAGTTGTTTTGTTTCCCCACCTTTGCAGAAGGTTACGGGGCGGCCATGTTGAACAGGCAGCGTGACCCGACCGGCGTTCTGCCCTTCATGGACCCCAACGTCAACGAACTTCCCCTGGTCCTGGGGCGGGACTGTTCCGGCATCGTCATGGAGACAGGACTCAACGTGAAGGAATACAAACCTGGAGAAGAAGTATGTCAGTTTTTTTTTCTAATTTGGTAGCCAAGGCTCAAAATACTGAGACTATTATAATGCAGTTTAACAGCACTGCACCCAAAATTGGAGCTGTGCTCTCTACTTTATTATATGTTGTGCGTGTACCTAAATTTTTTCTGTGTACTTTTAAGTACTTAAAAGTTTCTAGTACACCAGAGCACCTATTACCAGAAATGAATTTCAAGCACTGATAACCATCTCCAAGTAGTAGGCTATGGTGTTCCTTTTGTTTGGTTATTTGTGAAAAGTATAACTTAAGAAGCTATATGAATGAATGAATGAATGAATGAATGAATGAATGAATGAATGAATGAATGAATGAATGAATGAATGAATGAATGAATGAATGAATGAATGAATGAATGAATGAATGAATGAATGAATGAATGAATGAATGAATGAATGAATGAATGAATGAATGAATGAATGAATGAATGAATGAATGAATGAATGAATGAATGAATGTGTTATGAATACAGGTATTTTCTTGTTTTTCCCCACGCTCGATAAATGAAAGTTGCTAGGTCAGATACACCCTCGTTAAAGAGCCACTTAATTCTATTTTCATCTCTTTCCCATATGATATCAGGTGATTTTGTATAAATTTTACGAAACATATTTTCTCGAAGTGGATTTTATGATTTTCATTACTATGTCATATATGTGTGAATCAGTGAAGGGCTAGAAACTTCCTATATAGGAACTGCAGATCTTTGTATCTTTTCTTTTTGTCATGATATTGTATAAGTTTTATATTTCATAGCAGTCCAGCTGAATAATAGATATTTTAGAATTCTTATGGTTTCTGGAGTAATTTAGCTCTGATTGATTATATGCAAATACTTACTGCAACAGTAAGAAACAACTTGAACACTCCCAATGTCATTATGAACTTTGTAAGATTAGTTAAGAGAAAAAAGTTGATTATAGAACAAAAATACTGTACAAAATCTGCAAGGCCCACTATCCAATATCATTAGGGAGACATAGGCTTGAAAATATGTTTGACTGGCAAAAGAAGAGATCATAATTATACTAGTAAGCAAAAGCACAGAAGCCCCAGATGATGGGTTGACTAACACCTGTGCAGTAGCTGAACCTAGTACATGCAGATGATGGTGGAAAACACACCTTGTTGCCGGGTGCTGTTTCTATCTATATTTGACTTCTAATTAGAATGTTTTTGACAGGAGGTCCTTCAGGCATATTGCAATTAAGATTCTCATTGTGTAGCTTGGGTTGTGTCGTGGTTGCTGGCAGAGCTTTCTAGAAATACTTGAAATACTCCTCAATAGCTGTTGGGAAAACCAATCTGTGGCTCCCATACAGATCATTGCTTATACAATAGCAGAGCTGCTTGAAAGAATCAAGCATGGCATGATTGACATGTGCGTGGGACTTCTGTTCACTCCAGCTGTTTCAGTGAAGTTGTTTTTCTGCGAGACTGATGTATAGATATTATTCATGTTCAACTTCTCCCAGTAAACAGAATAATATGTTTTTCACTCTCATCTCCAGAGGTTCAGGTTGTGGACTGTGGGCTTCTTGCTTGGTACAGGCCAATATTCAAGACCCTAAGGATACTGCCAGTGGTAGAAATACTTTTTTTACAGTGTTCTGCAATATTGTAGATGAGTCAAAATTTCATTCTGCAATTTGGAAACACTTTCTGCAAAAACACAAGCCACCAGTGGTCACCACACTATTAAACACAATATATTTTTAACTCCTGATCTTCATCAACATGTACAATGTATTCTTCAACAGCGAAAGTCACTTTGTAAGATGGCAGCCAACATGTTGCTTTGAAAATGTTTTTCTAATGTTTAATGATATTACTTTAATTTGATGCCAAAGATACTCAGACTACAGTACATAATAATATTTGTTATGATCTTGTTGGTATGACCGCATTGCAGAGGTTTAAGCTTTGGCTTATTTTGATGTGTTTTAAATATTTTTATTAGGCTCTCTTTTCTGTACTTGACAATGTATCAATTTTTTTGGCAACTGCCCGGCCAACTTTTGACCTAACTCTGAGTGTGTGTGGCTTGGGCTACTGTCGTGGTTGTTGGCAAAGCTACTCCTCATGAGCTGTTGTTGGGAAAACCAATCTGCCGCCTCCATGCAGATTGATAATACAATTATAGCAGAGCTGCTTGTCAATGAAAGAATCTACCGCAGCATGATTGTCACCACGTTTCACTCCTGCGGTTTCAGTGACGTCGTCTTCCCGGCAGGACTTCTCTATAGAAATTACTCCTATTCAGCTTCTCCCAGTAAACAAAATGATGTGTTTTTCACAACCATCTCAGAAGGTTCCAATAGCTGGGGTCTATAACCTAAAGGATACTACCAATGGTAGAAATACTTCTTTTTGGTGTTCTGCTGTATTGCAGAGAAGTCAAAATTTCGTTCTGCAATTTGGAAACACTTTCTACAAAAATACAGGCCTCCATACTACAACCTTCTCCATCTTAATATTGCCTATGTTTACATTACTGTAGTATGATATTTCTTTGATGCTAAAAATATCAGTCGTTAATATATGATATTTGTTGGTATGACTGTGTTGAAAAGGTGTTACGGTGCAGTTTAGTAGCAATTCCAATGGTATGAAGTTTATTAAATACTCCACTACAGCATCCAACTGTACAATTGTCAAATGCAGGCTTAGTGTTGTGCACATTGCATGTTCTTTTTGTGTACCTGTGTGTATGTAATTGCTCTGTGTTTTTTCTTGTATCATTAATATAATTGTAAGATCAACGTGATTCATTGCCATGTTGATTGATTTCAATGAAATTGATTGAAATAAAGTCCTCCCTTCCTTAGGTGTGGGTAGCTGTGAACCCCTACAAGATGGGCACACATGCAGAGTTTGTAGTGGTCACCAACAGCGAGGTAAGCATGGTTACAAGTAGCAAGCATCACTTTGACTGTCTGGACTTTAAGATCAGGGCTCCAGTGTATTTTAGTTTTAGTGTATCGGGTCATCATGCTATTATTTGTAACTACCACTGTGACAGTAACATTTTGCTTATTTGCAACTAGTGTAACTGTACTTTTCTAGTGTCAAGTAATAATAACCTTAGGCCACACCAATTTAATTTCTTGGTTAACGGATTCGCCGCTTCATTTTTTTCTGATTTGCAAATAAAAATAAAAATCCAGAATCAACTGCAAAATGCTCATATTTTGCCCTGAACAGTTGAAAACAGACCTTTTCATCCTAGTTGTTACAGTTATTCCATCTTTCAATGCAATGGTATCATTAAAAGTTCAAAATTCATTGTTTAAATTTTGAACCAGCCTGGTGTGTTGACTTCATGGCTCCTATCTTACCATTTTGGGCCATAATACGATGCCTAGGCCTGTTTTTATTTTTTTTTCGCACGCCCGCTCCATTATTTTTGTAGAAAAATCCGTTAACCAAGAAATTAAATTGGTGTGGCCTTATAATGTTAGTACTACTACTACTATGGCAATCACTCGTGATCTTTATTTGTAATCAGATACAGATTCATGTACAGATACATAGTCATGCACAGATACAGATTCATGTACAGATATACAGACTTTCCGAGTATGATGACCGTGTCAGTCCCTACACCTGAGTGAGGGTCACAGTTGACACGGTAGCCTTCGCGTGGATTCGCTATAATGTTAGTATTACCCTCCAAACTGACAAAAACCCTACCTTACCTGTGGTCAAGAAATGATATTGTCCCGCCTTGAGTACCCTCAGAATGCCACGTTTTTCCAAAACCTCCTGACTGTGGAAGGGTCAGAATCCTCCTTCTGCACCATCCCCCTTGATTGGTTGCTTTGCTGCCTTGCCAGTACGCTGATATAAAAACCTGGCTAGAACACTGAAGATTCACTTCAAATGGCTGGATAAGACAGTCTAAAGTTTAAGTCAGCATCTTAGCTAACTGTGTGGTGTATTAAGCGTGAATGCAACTTTGTTGTACTGTATGATATTGATACATCTAGTATTATGTATGTGACAATTTAACATTTCAATAAATCTACCAGCTCAGCTATTATTTGTTCTTTTCTTCCTTCATTTTCTGACTGTCCTACAGATTTCTCATAAGCCGAGGTCGTTGACCCACGTACAAGCAGCCTCCATCCCTTACTCAGGACTGACGGCCTGGGCGTCACTGGTCACCCAGGGGGGACTGAACGAGAAGACAGCTAAGGGGAAAAGGTGACGGCCTCGTCCTTTGTCGTACCATCTTAAGGTATCATGCCTGTAGCCAGGATTTTGCTTGGGGGGTTCTTCCCACTGTCTGAGGGGGCAGAGTTCCCTGGGAGGGTGGTTGGGCACGCCCCCCCCTGGAAAATTTTGAAAATCAAACCTTCTAAAATGGCATTTCCTGTGTATTTTTGAGAGAACTTCAAAGGAAAAATCAGAGATATTTTTAGAGGATTTTAGCCCTGTTGGTGATACAAATCAGACTACCTTATCAAGAAAAATATTGGACCTTTAGATAAAAAGTCCTTTGAGCCATGTGTGTGTGTGTGTGTGTGGGGTTTCTTCCCAAACCCCAGAATCCCCCCTGCCTATGGGCATGGGTATTCTTTGGCCACAGACCACTTCTGGGCATTGAACTGACGCTCACTGAAGTAGCATCTCTTCTCTTCTAAGTCAGAAACATCAGGCTTTAAGCAAGCTTGACTCACTGACTGAATAGGTGAAGCAGAGGTTACGAAGGCTTGTTGAAAAAATCCCTACCCCATTATAGGCTGGAGTAGTTTGATCCAGTCCAGTCACATTGGGAAGGACCCCTACTGTTGGGATAGTCCTACATGCGTCTTACAAAGTTTGGCCGTCTAGTTGAGGAAAAAACTTAGAGTCTAATAATTGTTATTGATGGCTGGTTTTGTCACAATCTGTTTGAAAATTCTCACTATAACATCAAAATGATCTGATGGCCTGTGACATAATGTTGCTGCACTGCATCTCCTGTGGACAAAGCATGAATTTTAAAAGGTGAAGTGTCTAGTGGTCATTGGAGTTTGCAAGTGTTCTGCAACTAAGATGTTCAAGACTGATTTCTGCTTGTCTCTTCTCAGGGTGTTGATCCTTGGGGGTTCCGGAGGTGTGGGAACATTTGCTGTACAGGTGAGAACCACAAGGTTGAGGGTTCGAAGCCCAGTCTCGTCATTTTATCAGAGTGCCACTGTTAGTGTTAGCTTTTAAATGGATTGAACATTAAGCCATTATTGCCATATTTAATGGGTACCAATTCATTTATAAGAGAAGTGGTTACAAACAGACTTGTGTTCATTCAAACATGTCCATTCATTATCTGTGTTGTATTTACCTCCTCAGGCAAAATTAGGCAAACACACCTGTCCTTGGTACTGAACACTATGCTGAACACCATCCACACAGGCAAATATACCTGTCCTTGGTATTTAATACCATCCACACACAAACATACCTGTCCTTGGTGCTGAACACCATCCACACAGGCAAACATATCTGTCCTTGGTGCTGAACACTATTCACACACATGCTCTCTCTCTCACACACACACACACACACACACACACACACACACACACACAGGCTAACATTCCTGTCGTAGTGCTTAACACTATCCAAACACTTAAACATTAGGCAAACATTCCTGTCCTTAGTGCTGATCTAACATTTTTCTGGTCCCCAGTTGTTGAAGGCATGGGGAGCCCATGTGACCACAACGTGCTCCAGGGATGCCATTCCCATGCTGACATCTCTAGGAGCTGACGACATCGTTAATTACCAGGCCCAGGATGTTAGGGAACACCTGAAGAGACTCAATAAGTAAGGAAAACCTATTTTTGTCTGGTTACAATGTGGCGTCGCACAGTGTAATGGCAGATTGTTTGGCCCAGAACACAGAGGTCCTTGGTTCGAATCCTATCATGTCATCTATCTATAAGGAGAGGGTTTTTGATTTATTGAAATTGCAACAGTGCAATACACGTGGGACAAAGGCAGCTATTGCTGGTGTTGTGTTCCACACATAGAAACAAATACAGGACAGGCAATACTCATTTTCACTTGAGTTAAGTGGGGAAAGCCGTGTAAAATGCCTTTCCCAGGGGCACAAGATTGATGGCATGTCAGGGCTCGAACCCGAGACCTCTTGGTTCCGAGTCGAGCATGCTGCCGTTGTGCCACACGACCCCACTGTGTGGTTCTACAAGGGTTGAGCTCTGCCTTTCAGTACCATGCCGTAGACACAGTGGATTAACAACCCACTGCCATTACGGCTTAAAAAAACTATGGGACTACCTTTTTTTTAACTTTTATGTTCTCAGCCACACGGTTTTCAATTTCATCTCTCGTCTCAGATATTATTTGTCACTCCCTTCCCCACAAGCAAATGGAGGGACATGTCCTGGAGACAAGCCTGGTCCTGATGCATTAGTTTTACATTGTTTACAATTCTTAGCTACATGCACTAACCCTATTTTCCAGGGCTTCAAGACTTTTTTTCCTTTTCCCGAGTACAAAGTTCCTGATGCTTCTGAATACACAGAGCTATTTTGATCCAGGCATGCAAACATGTTTGAAGTAAAAAAGACGAGGATTCAGAGGGTTTTACATTTTTGAAGTGCTTTAATTTTTTTTTTCATCTCCAAAGTGCACAAAGTCATATCTTTAATCAAACCATTTCTTGTACAGAATATCACAGGTACATTTTACATACCTACGTGCAGTATCCACTGACAATGTTCTCAAGTATGGAACAAATATTTGGAGACCTAGATACAGATTCTGATGCTTCAATAATAATCCAAACATCTTTAAATGAAGATAACTTTACATATATACATCTTTATATCTACATCACACAATTATATTTGACATCTCTTGTGAAAAGATTTCAGATTCTACAAATATTTACAATGCTTCATTTTTTAAAATGAAAAGTGCAGAATATCATAGCCTTCCCACATAACCTCTGATAAATGTGTACAGCCCACAGAAGATCAAATCAGAAGAAAAGATTTAGAACTCACCAATTATTGTATGTAGCTGTTCTCTATATCTGGGCCAGTTCTACCATGACATAAGTTTCATTGTTCCAAGTGATCCTTTGCCGGGGTGAAGGTTGTTCTGTCAATGCCATGGCCAGGTTGACGGGTATTGCTGTGCTCCGTGGCGGGCCGGTCTGTCGGTGTGTTTTGTTCAGCTGCACGTGTGGCGCCTCCCTGCATGTATGTGGCGTTTGGCGGCACCTGTTGTACATCCTGTGGATTGTCCCGGTTACCCCGTATCATGGAGACAAGTGCAGTCAGCCCCCGGTAGATGGCCGTCATGTTTTTCCTGATTCCCTTCCTCAAGTCTGGTGTGCAGACGATGCTTACGATTGGGTTGATTGCTGAGTTGAAGGTCATTATCAGAACAATTCCAGGTGGTCCGGTTGGCAGTGAGCAGTTCACCCTATTGCGGCATATCGGAAAGAGCACAAGAGGTAAGAGCCAGAAGATAAACGCGACCACCACATGAGCGATTACTGTCTTTATCTTGTTCAGACTTCTCTGGTACTTTCTTTCTGCCCTGTTTTGCGCCATATTGTTCGGCTGATTTTGCCCTGCCTGATTTTGTGCCGGATTGTGACGCTGTCCCAGAGTATTGCCTTGAACTGGCTGCCCACCTGCTGTCCTGTTCTTTGGGCGTTGTTTCAATGCGATGAATGCACTTGTAGTTGCGAACAATGCAGTGATAGCCAGGAGTACCATCGTTGCTCCTGTGATGCCCATCTGGGAGGTGTGGTAAAAGCTGGAACAGTTTGATGTGGGCATGTCCAGACAATTCCAACCCATACTGGGTGTTAGACTCATCAAGCACAGGATAAGCCACGATGTTGTGATAGCAAAACCCGCAATAGGCTTGGCATTGTGAGCTTGATTGTGGAAGAATATGGGATGCCTGACAGCCACATATGAGTTTAGTGACTGAAGGGCCAAAGCAGATGCAGACAGGATCTGAGTACTTATCATTACAGTTTTCATGTTCATTTTGCTGTACAGACTGGTCACTTCCATCTGGCCTGCTGTAGAATAGAACAGAAGGGCCATGCCTGCAACCATGTCTGCCATGGAGAGATTTGCCAAGTAGATGAAGTATGCCTTATGCAGTTCTCGGTTTCCAATAATGCCCGAGAGCACAACTGTGTTGGCGATGATGATGAAAACTGCTACCACCAAACAGAAGACTGTCATCTCAGTTCTCCCAGACTCATCAAAGTACATGGAGCAGGCTTCTTCAGCCTGGCTGTAGGGCACGGTCTGGTTCCTTAAGTACCATAGGACACAGAGCAACCGCCCAGCAAACTCAGGAACTAATGTCTCGTTTAAGTCCAAGGGAAGGGACGCAGAGCTGTTATTGAACATGGTGGAGCTAATTTTGGTCAAGATGTGAGGTGGCTTAAAGCAGTGCTCGTCTGTGGTGCTGCTGGTGACTGGAAGTTTAGCTAGATCGGGAAGCCTGTCAGTTCTGAGTGCCGAAGGAAACTGTCACCACAAAAACCATCCAAGACAAAATCAATGCATTCTCACCGGTGGAATGTTGTCTGAGAGATAGTTGACCTCAGTAGGATGTAAGATGGCTAAGCAGCACGCGTCTCTGGTGTCGCTTGTGACTACCGGTAGAAGGAGGCAGAATGTAGACGCACCCGATCAGGAAGGCTGTCAGTTCTGAGAGTGCGAGGAGTGAGCCAGTGCTAAACTTGCGCATGCGTCGTGAGTTTTGTCGTGGGTGTTGCCTTCTTTGGTCATATGTGTACGCTTTCTTCATGATCGTATTCAAAATTGTGCCAATCAGCGGCCAGTGTCGTGTTGATCAGATATTCTGCTGAAAGTTGCTATGGGGCATTTTACCATGGGTACTGGCTTGTTTACCGATGATTACATTATAGTGAACCGTGTGCATTAATAGCATCCCGCTGGCAATGATTGTCAGGCACAGTAGGAAAAATATACCTGCAGTCATCGTGGCTACTTCCTTGCAGACAGGTTTTGTACGGTGTCACAAGTATAACAACTTCAGGCCACACCAATTTAATTTGTTGGTTCTCGGATTTTTTCAGAAAAAATATGAAGCGACAGGGCGAAAAAAAATAAAAATAAAAACAGGTCTAGGCATCCTATTATAGCCCCAAATGCTACAATATGAGCCATGAAGTCAACAAAAAAGGCTGGGTTAAAATTTAAAGTATAAATTTTGAACTTTTAATCAAACCACTTCATTGATAGATGGAAAAAACTGTAACAACTAGGAAGAAAAGGACTTTCCTCAACTGTTGGGGGCAAAATATGAGCATTTTTGAGTTGATTCAGAACCAGAATCTTTTTTTTTTTCAAATCAGAACCAACAAATTAAATTGGTGTGGCCTCAAGATAAAAATTAACTTATATTTTGTCAAAGGACAAAATGATACATGATACCAGAATGGTTTCACTGTTGATGAATCTTAATATTCATTCAAACTTTTCACATACAGGAAGTCACTAATATTTTGCCCTCCCGACAAAAAGACTTCAATATGCTGTGACTTGCATACTAAAGACATTACATGTAACTAAAACGGTAGTTTGTTTTGTCACTGAGTCTGTATTATTGCCAGTAATGTGGGAAAGTTTGGTGAGACCTCTTTTTAAAATGTGCTTGTATGAGGTGTGAGGCAAGCATTGGAATTGGGGACATCTCCTCCTAGAGTCTGCGACCCTTACCTGAGAGGTACAGACACAGATGGCTTACGGATTTGAACCCATAACTGAATCTCATGGCCCAGAAGTAGGGTCAATACCCACTAGACTACTGCGTGCTTAAGTGAAAACCGGCCTGGCACCTATGTACCTAGACCAAGTGACCAGTGACTGGCTAGTGTAAGGATACAATATACACCCCCACAAACTATTGGACGAGTCCGGTCAGAGGTCACGGACTGCATATGTTCTGACAAGAATACATTTCATATCCCAGCACTTCTCGCATCTTCATTCCTGGAGTGATTACTTATAAGTTCCAATATCTTCACCAACTGGACACTTACATTGGTGGCAGCGGTGTCTGGCTTCGAACTCCCGCCAGCTCTGTCTTGTGGATCGCATTTGGAGCACATTGCCGACCGACGTTCGAGCGCCCCCCTCCCCCACCTGGTTGACTCGTGTCTACCCTGCTCTACCAAGACTCCAGGTATGGCTAACCTCCATCCGTTTACGCTAGAAGACGATGAGGAAATTACCTTTCCACGGCTGCGACCACTGTTGTCACCTTCAGAAATTTCCCCCATTCAATCCCGTGGCGCATCCGGTGTCCGAACTGCAACCACCC